GCACCCTGCTGCTGTCCCTACGGCTGTCAGGTACAGCCTGAAAGAGGGCATTCAGAGCAGGAATCCAGAGACAAAACAAAAGACAACAAAATAATAGAGGTCTAAGAGTCAGGTCACAGTAGAGGGAGATGACTAGAAGATCCTAGCCCATGGCAACACTTAGGGTTGGCAGGGCTTTCTGCCTGATTTGGCAAGGCTGACCAAAGTTTAGAGTACAGAAACAAATGGAATTTCAAGACGGGGGGGGGGGGGGGGGGGGGGAGAAAGAAGAGGGACGTTATATAACACTTATTTTTAAAAAGTGATTTTTATCTCAAAATATATGCCAAAGGCAAAATCCATGAGGAGAAAAATATTCAAGGTAGATTTCATTCAACCAATTAAAATTCAGTGATAAGTAGAAAAAAATGTGCAAATCAGGGTAGTACCCCCAAAACAATTTTACTAAGATCATATTCATGATTTGAGAATTCTTCTGACTTCCTGTTTATAGAAAGGGAAACCAAATGTCACAGGATGATGAGAAAATTCACTTTGTAAAAGTAACCATAACAAGCCCCCTGTTATTAAATAGAAGCATCCCAAGAACCCAGTTCTCAACTGTACTGACTATTTTAATGGGAACATTAAAGCATAAGAATACTAAATCCATATCATTAAATATCCATTTGAACTTGCATTCCAAAACAAAATAAAAATTCCGAATTCTTTTAAATTTCTTTTCAATTAATAATGAGAGTTGATTACCGTCAACATTTTCCATTTAAAGCAATTCACTAAAGAAATATATTTTAAAAACTTTTCCAGAATAATTCAGATTTTTCATATTATACCTGTTCCACGACCTGATTTATAGGAGGTTAAGGTTTATAACCTACAAGTAGCTTTGATTTAAAGTATCATCATTTACTAGGGTTTATCCTAGATGAGACAATAACACCTTCTTGACAGGAAGGCCTCATTTAAAGTCATTGACAGGTTGGTTATGCGACTTTAAGTGATAAAACATAATGAAACCAATTTTACCATATGGTAATTGATACAAACAACAGTTAAGTTCCTACAGCATCTCAATGTTACAATGAATGACATTGAGAGAAATGTTATTCGAGGACATGCTGTACAATATACACAATGGTAAATAGGCTACGTAAAAATATATTAGTGGTTAAGAATTTTTATCCTTCATAATTACTACCAATCAAAACATTTTGTATCTTCCATTTAGATCTAGAAGTGGCTGTCAGGGTTTACTTCCCAAGAGGGGAATAAATCAAGTCCTCATAAGTTCATACTAACTTATTATAAAGGTGTAACTATGAAAGTTTATGAAGAGAACTGAGAGTATAGTGAGTATCAGTCAGAGAAAACTACTCAGCACCAAGCCGAAGTACTCATTATTTGATCACTCTACTTAAGAGGTAGACTTAGATAAGTAATTCAGTGTCTAGTTATATTAAGATGTGTAAAATGATACACAACTACAACTTCAAGTGGGAAAACTGACTTCAGAAATAACAGAATTAAGCACGATATTTTCAAAAGGAGAAGCGACAAGGAGTAACTTCTTGAATGTAGGACAACAGGTTGCGAGAGTATGTTACTAGGTAAGAATTTGAGATGAAGTATGATTCAACACTGTAACTCCAAAGAAAGATTAATAAAATATACGGGATGGACATATAAAAAGTAAAGATCACAAAAAAGGAAACAAGTAAACAAAAACAACATGTGAGAAACAATGAAGGAATTAGTAAAGTAAAAACTAAAACGTCAGGCCAGTTCTCCCGTAGCATGCCCCAAACACGAGAACTTAGCGGACGCATCCCCAGGAAGATCCAGCGCAGTACTACCTAGTGCACGTAAGAACTGTCCTGCTGGCTGCAAGCCTCAGCTAGCAGGTGCCTACTGTCCTCCCCTCTGTGCTTGCTTTCAGCAAATTCATATGCTGAGCTGACTGAACCCTTATCTTCTTCCATCTGGAAGGACAGAAAAGCAACAAGTCTCATATTACAGACAATACTCTCACTGTATATAGATTTAGAATCAAAACAGTAAGTTGGGGTCCACAATCTGTGAGGCACAAATGAATGTTCACACACCACTACATTCATTTACTGTCACAAAAGAGAGCTAACAGCAGCTTCTTAAGGGACATACAACAAAGCACACAAAATAAAGCCATGATTTTCCAGTGCACTAAGTCATGTTAAAACCAGGTTTCCTTCAATAAAATTAAATTTCTTCTATTAAAAAATTCCTTGCCACCAATATTTAGGGTTTTCCTTGCAAAGATTTATCCCATTTTGCACTTCTCATGCTCCCTTCTTAGAAGACTTCTCTACTCCAACTGGACTTCAGCAGAGTAGACAGGTCACACGGACTTTCAAATGTTAACATGTGGGTGAAGGGCGCTTGCCTTAACAACATTAATTTAATCCTTAATTTGAAATACATATTTTAGTGTTCACTAAACAAATTATTATTCTTTACTTTTTCTATGTTTGTTTTACAGGCCTTGCAGGGGTGTCCAACCTTTTGGTGACTCTGGGCCACACTGGAAAAAGAAGAATTGTCTTGGGCCACACATTAAATACAGAAACAATGAAAACTGATAAGCAAAAAGGTTTTAAGTAACTTTATGATTTGGGTTGGGTCACATTCACAGCCATCCTGGGCTGCATGGGGCCCACAGGCTGTGGGCTGGACACCCCTGTCAGGTGTATGTGCCCATAGCTAAGCTATGTTCTTGAATTAAAAAAAAAAAAAAAAAAAGTCCTCATTGAATAAAAAACAAAATTTTCCTCATTTCTCTGTATTTTCTCAGTCTGAGGACTGACTAGTAACTATTTCTATACAAAATACTATGGTGAATTTCTTATATATATAAAAAAATAAAGTAGTTGAATTCTTTGGTTTTAAGAGTACAGTAAGTTTATGTAAAGACAGCTTTTTACAATAGCTTTGCCTATAATTCTGGGGAGAGGAAAATATTTTATTCAAAAGAAAAGTGCTAATAATTTTGTGTTAATGGTTCTTAAGAGGTACTACCCTGATTTGAAAGCTCTTAAGGATACTTAATATCTGTATCCTTTTCCTCTCTGGACACAATTAAGCTACCATGGGTAACACCCAGGAATGCTGTTCAGTGCAGTTCAGAACGAAGATGTATTTAAAATTCATAGGGCGCACCAGTAGAGAGATGTAGGTAGGCACCTGTTCTTCACGCCCACCCAGTGGTCGCTCATTGCTCATTTAAGCAACTTATTTCTGCCTGGCCTTTGGCTGAGCACAGTATTTCTTCTTTTTGTTTTTCTCTGATGCTGACAGTAAGTAAATAAATCACAGTGTGCAAAACGATCACTTCATAGGTAAATAACCTGGAGGCTAAGCGAGGTGAACTAATCTGATTAGCACATACAGGGAGCACTACCAGGGTAGCATTAGCGTTCAGGCCCGCTGTCTCCTCCAGAGGGCTCTTCTCACTTTCTTAGGCCGCCTGACAGGAGGCTGGCATGCAGCAAAGGCTACCTGACCAATATCCTGCTATCACTGTGTTCTTTCACAGAAGAATGCTCGGCTTAGCACTTTGTTATACCATTATGGAGCCTGAGACCTCTAGTTTATGATCTCCCTACCTCATTCTTTTTGGGGCTTGATTTAAGCGAGTATGATACATAAAAATATGATTTCATGAAAATACTACAATTATTCTTAATGCAAAAGTTATCTTCACTTGACAAGAGTTTGCCAGAGTGTTCTTCAAATAATGAGCTCTCCTACTGCCTATGAGTTAAAATAATTAGATGTTCAAAAATGTGATGAATATCCACTCTTTTGAGAAAGGCACATACAAATAAAATGTGATATACATATTTGGCTCAACCAAGGTGAAATTTGTTTTGATTTTAATTCTTGTTTTAAACATAAATTTTAGTTGGCTACCACTTAAACACTCACTTGTAAATTCATCTACAATTATTGCAACTTTGTAATTCAAAGTAGAGTATTTCAAAATCTTGAAGGTAAATAAGAAAATCAAAAGGTCTGGCAAAACTTTAGAACAGCTCAAAATTATGAACTCACAGAGTTATTTAATAAGAAGTTATTTAAGTGGTGCTTTGTCAAAGCTATTTATTTGATCAAGTGAATGTAGGGATTAGAAACTTTGAGAATAAAAAAGAATTATATATATGTGTATATATATTTAAGAATCCACAAAATACTGATAGAATGAGAAATCAAAGAGTGCCAAAACTACAGAAATATTTTAGTTAAATTACTTTTTCTCTTCAAAACAGACTGGAGTCAAAGATAATACTATATAGATTTGGTATCTTAATATCAACAGTTCTAACATTTAAGTTTTCATTCTCTTCCATCAAAAGATATCTCTAGACTTCTGGGTTTTGTTTATTTTTTCCCTGTGGTAAATGAGAGAATGGATCTGTCTGTGGAGATAAAGGTATATATAAGAGATACAAAATTTATGTTCAATTTATAGATGCACTAAGCAGCAGCAAGGATATGAAATGCTTCAGCAGTCATTACAATGCACAAAGACAAATATGCACATGAATTTACAACACAGATTAAGGCAAGATAAAAAATGGGCAACTCTCACTTGCAAGTAACGGAAACTTAAAACTTTAGATTTTATGATGAATTTTGGTAGCTTAAATTACTCAACATGCAGGAGCATTCTTAAATATGAATATGACAAGCAGAAGCATTAGAATTGTGCCACAAAAGGTAGTTAAGGTGGAAAATATATAACAAGGTATAGATCTCTGTCCTGTTTTTATGCTGAAATTTTAATCTCAATGAAGAAATGGATTTTTTATTTTTAGGTTGAAACATACATTTAATAAAGGTCAAATTAGAGACAGAGCTGTGCTAACAAAAGATGCTCCACTCTTAATTCATGCCTCTGCCCATCTTTTAATAGTTTAATTGACCTTTAGCATGCAGAAGTTAACAAGGTTCTACTCCTACTCTACCTAAGTTTGCTCAGCTGATTCCTTGCCCTCGACAATGGCTGCAGTGCGATGAACTCGTCACTTAAAGCGACTGTGTTGGAGTACATCTATAAGTGGACAGAAAAGGGATGGGACACACAACAAGTCAGTGAGCTGTATTCATCATCTAAGAGACAGGCACAGGACAAGCTTTGTAAAGACACATCTGTTCCTACAAGAGTAGGAAATATCATACATGGTACATATACATGACCGACATTTGTAGCGCTGCTGGCTTTCTTCCCTCATAACACCACACTGTTATTCTGGAGGAAAACAAGATTCAAAATAAATGCTGACAACTCTTCTTTTGATAGGATTTTTCTTGCTACTTTTGGTAAGCAATGAAGTACCTAACAACTTTCTAATCATTTCTTCATCATTTGAACTCAGAAGTGAAAGTATAAGGCAGCAAAGGAATGATGTCACACATGGGATCTGAATGGCCATATACTGATTAAGGGAAAAAACCCCACAAAGATTCCTGAGTAGAAGTACAGATTTCCTCTTTGGATTTGACCACAACAGAACACTTGTCAAGTCACTTAAAGTAAAATGGGGTAAATAGGAACATTATACCTGCTTTCATACACAGATAAAATGGTTGCTTTTACTGCACATTCCATTTTTAACCAATTTTACCTTATGGTAAGAGAACTACAATATATATCAAGTACTTTCAACCTTTTTTTGCCTAAGGGTCAACCTTAAGGTACCAAATATATCCTATGTAATTCTTTAGAAACAGGCTATCAAAAAGGCTATGAAGAAATCTCTATGAAAATACATCATAATTTGCAAATGCACTGATTATAGAATTTCTAAGGGTAAATATAAATAAATCTAATTATTTACTTTTATGAAGAATAAAGTTTTTAAAGTGATGTCATTAACATATTTTGTTGAAATAGAACTTTATAGGTCAAGAGGGGGGCAGACCAATGTGTGTTCTGCATAAAGGTCTAGAAAAACTGTAATAGAAAATATATTAATAGTATTCTGTTACTGTAAATATTATCTCTTAAGATTAAAAAAGATAGGTACACATTTCTGACATATATTTAAGAATTATATATTGCAGAGTAGAAATGGTTTTCATTACTGATACACATATATGCATAGACAGAGTAATCAGATTATGCAAAATTTTTAGCCGTACTTGGAATCAGTATCACAAAGCAACATCCTCATCATCCTCATAATTATGTTTTTACTGAAGACTTACTACATGTAGGGTCAGGGTTAGGTGTTTTATATTCACTATCTCTAAGAATCATGTAAGACAGTAATTATTCTGATTGTACAGAGGAAATTGAGCCTTAGGAAAATAACTTGATTAAAGACATACATTTTATAAATGGTTAAAACAGTTTCTGAATTAAGTCTGTCAGACTTCAGAGGCCTATGCTGATTCAATGGGATTAAAATGTGTATTGCTTAGGACTGAATTACCAAAGCAAATATAGCCTAAAAAAATGCTGCCATGATCAACTGAAATTAAAATCAATGCACCATTTAGGAAGCCTAACTCAAATCACTACTTAGGGAGCACAATTCTATTTGTAGAATATGTAACTAATTTTCCAAAATTTAAACAAAATTTGCTTGGTAGGTAGCAAATATACAGGAAAAAAATCTCAAACTCGGCAAAACTAAATGATAATGAACTCGCTGTTCACTGGGGCATAAAAGTTAATAAGAATGTATTCTTGAGGATACCTATCCAATGAAAAGGTATAGTTAATAAGACAAATTAAGATAAGACTTCTAGCTCACGTACAAATCAAATATGCAAACAAAGCACATTCAACTAAATAGCTATAATTTCTTGAGCACCTACTGTGTGTTTGGACATTATTTAATCCTCATTACAAAGATAATGAAATAGACATTTCTATCATAACCTTACCCATGTAGATATTCAGAGAGACTTACAAGTCACAGAACTACCAAGTGGTAGACATAACTTTTGAACTACGGAACTGTCACATCAGGCCCTAAAGACCATATTTTTAAACACTATGCAACATACTGTTACTATTTGCTTTAGTTTAATATTTATTATTAAATGTTTGGTGAGAGAATATATTTTATAAAAATCCATTCTTTAAAAATTATTTAGGTTAAAGAACTTATTTTATACTCTTTTTTCAGAAAACAATATAACCTGAAAGAGTATTACTCAAATTCTAATGTTTCTAAAGACATGGATATATATCCCAATTATATATGTCTGATAGAATGCTTTGACAATATTATTTAAAACATATTTATTATTATTATCTGGACATGATAGTTTTACCTTTAAAAGCTGAAGTGGTATAATAACAATGTAATATATAAAAGATTATAATTTGTCGAGTCATACAATTAATAAAAACAATAACTTAAAAAATATCAGATTTAACATGATTTAGACTGTAAAATGCTTAATACAGAAGTAGAGAATCTCCTATTTTCTAATATAAGAAAATTGTAATGACAGCTATTCACAGTTAAAGCCCCCAAATAAAAGGTTTTGTATATAAAAATGGTTACCTGCGCCTTTTCAGTATTTGTTGGATGGAGCTGCCTGTCAAATACTTTCTTCACAATATCAAGAAACAGACATATTACAACCATGAGGATTATGGCAAACCAAACAGAACCACTTGATAGGAGCTGAAAAAATACAAAATACATATTCTGGGAGCTCGAAAAAGGCCTGCAAAGAAAGAAAATGGGCTTAATAAGACTAGAAACTGGTAAGACAGTTTCTTAAATCAACATATCCTATAAATCCACAATATTTGAAGGTTAACAATTTTAACCTGGAATACAAGTTTGAGATAATGTTCAAAATTTGAAACCAGTAATTAATTGAATAACTAATAAAACAAGACAGACTTTAGTTGTTAAAACAAAATTCAACAGCCCTGGTTGAGTAGCTCAGCTGGTTACGAGTGTCGCCCCAGTACACCAAGGTTGAAGAGTTCCATCCCCAGGCAGGGCACATACAAGAGTAAACCACTGAATACGTAAGTAAATGGAAAAACATATCAATGTTTCTCTCTTTCTCCCTCTCCCCCACCCCTTCCCTGCTTCCCCGCCTTCTGCTCTTTTTCTAAAGTCAGTAAATGAAAAAAACAAACAAAAAGACAGTATAGTCACTCACCAGAGAATCCCTCCATAAAACAAAGAAAATACAAAATAGAATATAATAGATCCCCAGGTAACAAAATGGTTGATCCAGGTCCAAAAGTGAGTTTCCAAAGCCATCTAAAAAAAATTTTTTTAAAAAAATTCTTAATATAGCATATCTTTAACCTCTAGGATGAAAGTCACAAATGAGTTAATTATAATGTGACTAAGGTTCCTATGGCAAATTCTCTTAGAAGATAAATATTAACACAAGGATCACAGAAGAAAACTGAACAATTAAAGTTTATAGGATTTTTCTTCTCAGAGGAAACAGCATTGAAATTTCATGACAATTCTTAACTCTATTGTCTGAAACAACTTCTATTGTCTTGCATTTTATACAGAGAAGCAAAATTTCAGAGATGATTACTGTGGGATTAACCTTTATTTAACCATAAAAATCATGGAGGCTTTATAAATAATGAACTTAAATAAGATTTTTGACAAAAATGAAAATAAATTATTAAATAGCAATCAGTGAAATTATTTATGACTAAAAAAGGAAATACATCTACTTATGGCTAAAGAAATTTAACTATGAATTATACAGACACAAAATTTGTCCATGTTTCTAATTTCTGTACCATACCTTTACTGTGACAGTAATGACCATGACCGTGAAGACCAAGGTGCCAAATGTCCAGTTTCCAAACATCTAAACAAAAAGAACAAACCATTATTGCATTATGTGTCACCATGATGCTAAGGCAAAAAGTAACTTCACTCTTGACTAAAAATCACTTGCGTTATTTAAGCCAGTTACATTTCAAAGCTGTAACTAGATGAGTGAAGTTAAAGCAGCCTGTGAAGAAACACCACAAACTTGACAATGTTTATTATCATCATCCGTTGCATATCATCAGACTGGAAACCCAAGACTGGTTTGGAATTCTGTGGCACAGATTGTTTTTATTTAGAATGATAGAGTAAATGCTTTATTCCTGTCACACAGTAAAAATAATAAGAAAACCCTGTTTGATCACAGTTATTGGGATGGCCATAAAGTTGTTATTCTTTTTCTTTCCATGGCTCTCATAGTGCTTAGTTGTCTTTAACATCATTTGAAACAACTTTGTTAGGTTGTATTGTGACAGCTGTCTTATCAGTGTGTATTTAAAAAAAATTATCAAAATTGGTGAATTTTTGTGCAGCCATTTTAATATTGAAGATGGGAGAAAATACACAACATTTTCAGTGTATTATGCTTTATTATTTCAAGAAAGGTAAAAACACAATTGAAACGCAAAAAAAAAGATTCATGCAGTATATGGAAGAAGGCGTCTAATGTGTTGAAAATGGTTTGTGAAGTTGCTGGTATTATCAACATTTTAGCCAAACAATTCTTTGCTGTGGGGCTGTAATTATGCATTGGAAGATGTTTAGCAGCACCCCTGGTCTTTAACCACTAGAAGCCAATAGTAGGAGACAGCAGATAAACTCACTATGCAAATCAATAGTTATTGGTAAAAATGAAAAATGTCTTTTATTTTATGGAAAAAACTAAAGAGATGTTTGACCACTACAATATTTTCTGAAGCTATTCCAACCATAAGTTATAGCAGGTAACTTGCCACTCTATTTCTGGACACAGCATAGGCAGAGCAGGAAAAAAATTACAGAAAAAAAAAACAATACCTAAAAGGAGAGAGAATTAACTACAGAATTACTCCTCAAAGGATTCCTTGTAAAAATGCTGTGTATGTCAGTCAGAAAGTATCTCCCTGGGCTTTACAGCAAAAACTTACACAGTTTATTAAAAATGCAGAATCCCCAAAGAATGTCAGGAGTAAAGTTTTACAAGTAAGAACACAACCAGAAGTTTATGTTAATTTAGTTTATAAAGTAGTCATAGTCTTTACCATTGGCTTGAAAATTACTTAAAAGGTTGTTTTATTACCACAGATTTCTAATTAGCATTTATGGGGGGGGACCCGAAAAACCCCAGAATTTATTTATATTCTGGCTGTATTTATATTGGTTGTATTTATACTTGTATTTTTTTCCCTTAAAAACGACCTGCCAAAATGTGTAAGGTTTAGGTATACTAAACCTAGCTCTGCCCTTGCTCAAAAGAGACAGATGCTTAATACACTACCACTATCTGCTTGTTTTCTGGATAACTTCTAACTGAATTTATTACTTAGTTATTTAATAAAGCCAGACTTGTATTCGAAATTAAAAACAATTATTCATTATTCATTGGTACACTCAACTATTAGTAACTGAGTACCTACTGGGTTGGTCAAAAAGTACGTTTAGTTTTTTTCTGTAAAATAAGACATGTTTTTCATTTTCACCAATAACTTTATTGATTTGGATATTCTGAGTATGTCAGTTATCTCTTGCTATTGACTTCTAGTGGGTAGAGGGCAGGGCGCTGCTAAACATCTTCCAATGCGTAGTACAGCCCCAAAGTAAAGAATTTTTTGGCCACAATGTCAACAGTACCAAGAAACTTCACAAACCACTTGACATGTTCGATCAGTCAAAGCACCTTCTCCACAGAAAGCACAAATCTTTAAAAAAATATATATATATATTTATTGATTATGCTATTCCAGTTATCCCAATTCCCCCCACTTTGCCATCATGGATGGCTCGTTCCCAAGGTATCCCTCCCGATTTTTATCCACCACACGTGAATATGAGATGGTCCGTTCTGCTGCCACTGCCTCTCCATACCACACTGCACCTCTGCACCTCTGCCCCTCCTGCCCATTTGGATGAATGTGGCTTCTTTCAATCCTTGGTTGTCGGACTTCCACAGAGCTCGATTTTCTGACAGTTGGGAGTGTTGTTTGTTTTGAGGTCTAGCTGTAACTCTTTCTCTGGTTGCATGAGAAGGTGACCCGTGTTTATGCCTCCATCTTGACTAGAAATCTGCACAAATCTTTTTTTGTTTCAGTTGTGTTTTTACCTTTTTTGAAATAATAAAGTATAATACACTGAAAAAGTTGCATATTTTCTTTCATCTTCAATACTAAAATGGCTGCACAAAAATTCACCAGTTTTGTTTTTTTTTTTACATGCAGCACACCGATAAGACAGCTGTCACAATACAATCTAATAAAATCGTTTTGAATGAAGTTAAAGACAACTAAGCACTACAAGAGCTACCATATGAACAAACTAAATGAACTTTTTGGCCCACACGATTTATATGCCAGTTACCATTCCAGGCTTTGGGATAAATAAGATGAACTTGCTATCCTCATGGAGCTTATACCAAGTGGATGAGAGAGATAAATAAAGCTAGAAATATATACCTTGAAGTAGAGATTAGTGTTATGAAGAAAAATAAACAGAGCAGAGGTCCAGGAAGTGATGAAAGGTGAGAGAGGTGGCATTATACAGAAGTGGGTAGAAAGCCCTTCTTAGGTCTGTGATGTTTCAGCAGACCTGAATGAATATATCACTAATGATTTTGAGGAGCTCCTTGGATATATGATCATATTTTTATTTTTAAAAGATCACGTGGGCTGCTGTACAGAGGACAGCAGCAAGGGGAAGAAAAGGAGCAGGAGCAAAGAGGAAGTAGCTGTTATGGCCCAGAAAAGAAATGATGATGATGATCTAGACAATGTGGAGAAGGGCAGTAGTGTAAACACTTAGGATGTGTGTAACATCAAAACCAATGTAACTGCATATGGATTGAGAGAGAATTGAAATCAAGAATAACAACCTAGACTTCTGCCTGAGCAGTTGGGTAAAAGGAGGTAGCATTTATTAAATAAGGAGAAGTGGAAAGGGACCAGGTTTGCAAAAGACAAAAATAAATTCTGTTTTAGCTATATTAAGTTTGAGATTCCAGTGGGACTTGTGAGTGGAGAAGGTAGTTACTTATTTGAATCTGAGACTGGCAGAGATGTAAATTTGGGAGTTTCCAGCATATAATCAGTAATTAAACCATAAGAATGAGTTCACCCTGTGTACAGGTAAAGAAAAGATGACATAGCCCTGAGCCCTTAGCCACTGCTCCGTTGGTTCTCAAAGTGGGTGATTTTGCCTCCTGAGGCAATTTTCTCAACCTGAGTTTAACTGTCTAATATGCAAAAGTAATAGATGACATTTTCCACATACACGGTTATTACAATTTAATAGGCTAATACATATTATATACCTGGTACAAGCAATAAAAGGTAGTTATGATTTGGGAAGTACTGTAGTCTTAATGCAACACAAACTATAGTCATCCCTCTTTTTGTCCCTATCAGGCTAAATATGTCCTCAGAAGTGAAGTGGCAGTAATATATATTTTCCTACACTACATCCTGAAGAGATGTGAATGATTCAAGGCTCTCTACAATTGAGACCCATTTCCTTCACTGCGCTTGCAGATTTTATTATTTTATTTGCTTATTTTCTGTATCCCTCACAAGACTCTAAGCTCATTACTTTCATACATCCAAAAGCTAGCACTGTATTTGAAAGGAATGGTTAATCCTCAATGAATGTTCGCAGAGCAGATAAAACTTAATATTCACCTCTTTGTAAATCCTGTATGTCTGTGTCACTAAATATATTTTGCAAAACTTAAGTACTGCCAATGGAAAGGGGAAACCAAAGGGGACAAGCATTTCCAGTCCACCCTAGGATCACTGCTGTCGCTTCCTTTCCTCCTATCTTGCTAAGCTTAGAAAAAGAGGCCTAGTTCTGCCAAGAGTCCCTTGACATGAGCACTCCAATTAGGACACGGTAACAACGTACTATGTCACACTCTTTCCCACTTTCATATTTCCAAAAAGTGGCCATTTTAAATAGTAACTTAAAACATCCTCAAAAATTGCTAGTGTGCACTGAATAGTATCATAGCACTTCCTAAGCATACCAAAAAAAAAAAAAAAAAAAAAAAAAATTCATGCAATTAAAAAGCAAAAAATGAAACACTAAATACTCATTTCTCATCGAAAAAAGGTGGGTCATATTATTTCTCCAACTGGCCTATTGTGAGGATTAATGGATATGGGGAAGGTAAAGCACTTAGCACAAAAGTAAGCACTAAATAAACAGTAGCTATTATTAAAACATAATCCTGAAGTGAACAGCACAGGTGCATGAACATTCCCTTGTATTAATTCATTTTTGAATAGCAAAATTCCCTAGTACCTTGAGTTTCATTTCAATATTAAACTATATTGCCTTTTTAAAAATTCTTGATTTGTATAAAATCTTAGTAAGTAAAAAGGTTTAAAACCTTTTTATAATTGTATTTTAATATCTGTAATTTTATAATTTAAACTGAATTTAACTTTCATTTTTTATAATAGAAAGTTATCAAAAACTGAATTAAATTATTAATGAATGATTTTTTAAAACCTATCTATTTTACCTGGCCATTTCCAAGCAGAGATATATCATTCCCCATTAGAAAATAGGATCCAAAAAAGAAGATAAAGGCATGACTGAAACCCAGGATGGTCCAATAAAGAAAAGTTTTCATGCTTAGTTGACGGTTTTTACTAATGTCTCTGTAAATTAAAAACAAAGGAGAAAAAGGAACATATTAGGACTTACATTTATTATTTACCTACTTAATTATAATTTTGTAATTTAAAAAGAGTCAATTTTTAAAGTTTGAAAATATTGGCAGAAAGAATAAACCCCAATTTACCAACTATTGGTTGGCCAAAAAGTTTGTTTTTTTCCATAAGATGGCTCTAGTAGCGCTCAGTTGTCTTTAACTTCATTTGAAACAATTTTGTTAAGACTGTATTATGAGAGCTCTCCTATCAGTGTGTATTAAAGAAAGAAAACACCGAAACTGGTGAATTTTTGTGCAGTCATTGTAATATCGAAGATGGAAGAAAATATGTAACATGCTTGGCATACTATGCTTTATTATTTCAAAAAAGATAAAAATGCAACTGAAGCGCAAAAAAAGATTTGTGCAGTGTATGAAGAAGGTGCTGTGACTGATCGAATGTGTCAAGGGTTGTTTGCAAAGTTTCGTGCTGGAGACTTCTCAATGAACGATGCTCCGTGATTGGGTAGACAACCCAGTGAGGATGATGGCAATCAAATGGAGACATTAATTGAGAACGATAGTTATACCATGCAGGAGACAGCTAACATACCCAAAATATTGGAATCAATAAAGTTATTGGTGAAAATAAAAAAATGTGTCTACTATTTTATGGAAAAAACTAAACAAACTTTTTGGTCAACCCAATACTACTTGTAATTAATCATACAACCATTTAACAGCTTATTGTTCACATAATGCATTCAAATTCATTTTCTCATTTGATAAAGAAATATGATATAAACATAATACTTCAGTTTAATTGTAAAAAAAGGTGATTTATTGGTATTGTAGTCTGTTGTAAACATTTAGTCACTGCCATGACTGATCTTTTTAGTGGAGTCATTTGCGTAAGGTTCAGCACTGAGATTCCCAATCAACTTCATGTCCACCAATAGCTATTATGACAAGAAGAGTCTTTGCCAATCTTGGGTCAAGCTCAGGCCTAGATATACTGGCAAATCAAGGTGAAGTTATTACCATTTCTGGATAACTGAATACCTCTGTAAGAGTGGAGGTCAGATGGATGTGGAAATTGTAAGCTGGTCCCGAGGAATGGCTCCACATCCCTGTGATTACTTGGTTCTGTGGAACCAGGACTAACTTAGGGGAAATGGATGAGAATTAATGTCCCCAACCCTATATTTTACATCGATTACTCATAAACTTGGCAATGCTAGAACATGAACTATTTTTTAAGGAACTCTAGAGACAACCAATTATCGAGTAACTTTATTTGTGCACATGAAATGGAATATTACTGGCTTGCAACAGTAACTGCAAATTATACAACTGCCTAATACATTACTAGTATGGAAGTGTTCATTCCTAAAAATATTGGAAAAATTATTGTGTTCAACAATTAGAAACCATACAACAACTAAAGTACTTTCCTTAGTAAAGTATTAATCACTAAGAAACTACCCAATGTATTTTTAAGGTACTGTTAAAAATTGATTAGCTATATATACTACTTGCAATCAGAGTTGTTATGGACGTTTAACACTGGAAAATCCTTACCGATAGAGGGTGGGCTTGTTCTGTAATACATGAGGGTCTATATGCTGTTCCAGTAGACTATATATCAGAATAGGCAGGGAAGTAAAACAGATGTTGTATAAAGTCAGGTACACGCTGTCATACAACGTCTAGAAAGAGAAATCAGTAGGAACTTTGAGATCCTAATTATGTAGTATGATTATACTTACGCATACAAAAACAAAGCATATAAACATAAACATAAAAATGTTTATTTCAGTTTATACCAAAATCTTTTTTAATAATTCCAATCTGTTTCTGACATAAACATATATATATATATAAATATATATAAATAAAATATTCATAGATTCATATTCTTTGTGGGAACTGGAGTATTTTGTTATGTCAAATTATTCTGGAATTACAGTAAATTGGACCTACATTTCAAGATTCTCCACAAGTCATTCACTGTGATGTAACTTCACATAATTCTACACGTTGCAACGGTTTTTACTGTTCCTTTGATATGCTGCACATTTAGTCTTGCTTTCACAGTTTTGCCTTCACATCTAAGACGTATACTTCCTTTAAGGCATGATCCATGAAACTTTGAATATTTTTGATAGCTTCCTCTAAACAGTCATGTGTACTACTGTTAGTACTAATTTGCTTAGCACTCTGCCTATGCTTCACATATTGATCTTATTGTTAATATTTCATCTTTAATTATACTGTAAACTCCTTGGAAACAATCAAAATAAGTTAGTTCATCTTGTCATATGCTCTTATAGCATTTATTTCATTCAAGTAAGCAAACACTGTTACTGGCAATCAGTGACTAAGCAGATACTTACAATTTGGAGTTACCAAAGGTAAACAAGAGAAAACAGTTAAGGACAGAAAAAACTTGAGAAAAAAAAAAAGATAATTAAGTGCTTGTTACTTCAATAAATTTGAAGAAGTATCTTGATCAATTAAAGATGTATAGTGTGGTATGTTCAGAGGGTGCTCTAATCAGAAGCAGTAGGTCTAAATATGATTTAGTTATTAACTTAGCTATGAGATCTTGGGCAAGTTACCAAATCTCTGTGTATTTCAATTTCCTTTTTTTAATAAAGTCAGACAGCGTAGATTAGGAATGAGAAGTATGTGACATGTATAGCTGAAGACCCACCACCATGAGCTCATTACAGCTACTGCTAATCACAGACAGGGTTTTCTCTGTGAGTCTATACCTTCAGAACCCCTTTCCATAAAGCACTGGTGGAGGTCCCTATAAATTAGAGTTAGTTTCTGAGATTAAACCTGTATGTTATCCCTGGACTCTACCACTAAGGTTCCTTCCAAATCTACAAATATTTTATGAGTCAAAACAAAGAGATTTTTTTTCTCTCAATAGTTTTCTGCCTTGGCTTCATATGGATTTTATAGAAATATTACACATAAATTGAAAAAGTTACCAAAATTCTCTATTAAGCTGTTAAGAGTTAATATCCATTTTTTGAAAAGTATCAAGAATTAAAATGTATTTTGATATTAACATCACTTCAGACTGAAAATAAGAATAAATATTATGTTATACTGACTAAATAGACAAGTTTTATCTACTTATCAGTGGGAATATGAAAAATTCCCTCCAAGTATCTATCAAAGGCTGAACACACATACTTTATTCTAAATGTATACAACAAAAGCTTCTATTTACTTACTTGTTGAGAAAACAAACAGTAGAACTGATATAAAAATTGGGGTGTGATAAAACATACATTCTGAAAAACAAGATTAAATGGAAATAATTAAAATATTCAGGTCTAAAAGAAAAAACATTTAAAGATGGCTAATGATCCAGAAACACAATCTCAGTTGACATGGAAAACAGAAGATCTCATAAGAACTTGTCCAGATAAAATGGCAAAACAGAACTCCCATTTTATTAAAAAGTCTAGTAGTATTCTAAGTAGCACTGCAAATGTCAGAATAAAATACCATTGACTCATATCATTGCCAAGCAATACCATAATTTTTAATTTACATTTTCCAATTATTATTCAATACTTGTCATATACGGTACAATAAGTTTTACTTCAACTTTAGGGCTAAATAGCTTTAAAATGCTAAAAAAAATTTAAAACAGAATAAATGAAACAATCAGAACATCTTTTGATTTCAATACACCTATGTCACAGCAAAGCTATAAAAAATATAAGCTAGGAAAAAACCTACCACCATCATTTATTAGCAAAATGCAATCTACCTGTGTTCTTTCATTGGCTTGCAACTATTAATTATAGGTATATATACAATAGAAGACATACAGGTGTATTAAATGTCTTGGTACTAAGGGGCTCTTAACTTGAGTTCCATAGAATCCCACCTTCCCCAAAAGGATCAAGAGACAGAAAGGTAGTACATCAACATAATTAGGTCCCTTGTAATCTTATGTATGTATTTTATTTTATGTATCCAAAAGCCTTACGCTGAGTCACTTAATACATCTCACTAGACTACTAAATGTTCACTCATGGCACAAAAAGATTTAGAACCTCAGCTTGAAACCAGCATATTTAAGTTAAATTAAAAAGTATTACTGGTTCAGCCCTGGCCAATGTGGCTCAGTTTATTGGAGCATCGTCCCATAAACTGAAAGGCTGTGAGTTTGATTCCTGGTCAGGGCACATGCACAGGTTGTGGGTTCGGTCCCAGGTCAGGGCACACATGAGAAGCAAACAATTGATGTTTCTCTGTTCTCTCTACATCAATGTTTCTCCTCCTCCCTTCCTCTCTCCCTAGAATCAAAGGGCGTGTCCTCAGGTGAGGAAAGAAAAATTTTAAAAAACCCAAAACATGAGTATTACTGATTGAAAACAAAATAACATCAACTAAATCAAATTAAACGAGTTCTAATTTGCATAAAGTGTGTCCGTTTTAAGTGTAAATTTTTTTATGTCTTGACAAATTTATACACCTGTGTAACAACCACCACAAACAAACTACGTAACTTTTCCATTATGTGAAATTCTCTATATATCCCTTTCCAGTCAGTTCTATAACCTGCACCCTTGACACCAGGTAACCACTGATTTGCTTTCTGTCAGTACAAATTAAATGCATGACTAGTAATCAAAGTATATTCCATAAACTGTTATTTTTACTTATGGAAACAATTTTTAAGAATAACTTGTATGGTAATAGCATTCTTTCAACTGAAGCCTCAAATTACAGTCAATAATAAATTTTAAAATAGCTCCATGAAACTCACCTTATAAAAAAAATACTGTACAAGGGTAGCTATTCTAATATAATAAAAATGACCATGAACAAAAAGCAACTTGGAGAGAAATTTAAATCTAGCTATTGCATAGTCACTGTTTCTTGCAGCTTGTCTTCCTTCTTTACCCATGATTCCTGTAATAAAGGGAACAAAAAGGCAAATTCATTGATAACTGATTAGTATAATTTTCATGATATATCTGTGAATATGTTAATTACATATTCCTGGACTTAGGATCACCATATCCTAATACACAGCAGACATCAGGTTCCCAAAAGTTTGTTCTAAACAAATGTGTAATCTAAGACAAAGCTACAATAGATACCAGGCATGTAATATCAATTTTCAAAGATTTAGAATATAATATAAAGTACAATAAATATAAAAATAATATTCAAAGTCCAGGATCTAATAAGAACCTCAGAAGCTCAAAGTCCTAGTTAATATATTTCTAATGGAGAGGATGCTATAAAACAACTTTAACTTCACTGAACACGAAAATATCCAAAATGATTTGAATCTAGCACAAATGAGCGTGTTTAAAATTTTCATGCATAACTCAAACAAAATGTGCTTTTAAAAAGTACAATATCATTTGAAATCAGTCCATAATTTTATCTGATAAATATAAGCAAACATGCATAACTCATAGACACAATGTTGTGGTGACAGCCAGAAGGGGGTGGCTGGGGTGGGTGGAGGTGGGCGAAGGGGCGGAAAACGGGGACATCTGAAAGAGCGTCAACAATAAAAATAAAGGGAAGAAACACCCATAGTTTTCTCTTTACTCCTGTATTTGTACAATAAAATTATTGAGGAAGACAGATTAGAATATAGTTTACATAGGAAATAACTGATAACTTAAATATAAATAAAATATTCGTGTTCTGAATCCAGTAAAAATTCAGGGCAAAAAAAATTAGGATAAAGTTTATTAAATAAGAAGTCTATTTTAAATTTTATATTTTATTACAGTCTGGTATAATTTCCTGTCTCTAAAATTGTCTTTAAAATGAGCTGCAGAATCTTCAGATTGACCAATAATAACAACATTTTAAAACAAGGATTTAAAACCATGAGGGCAACTCTATGTAAATCAACAAATTTAGAGTTAAAATAAAGTTAAAGAATTTTAAAAAAGTGAATTTACTCATGTGATATTCATGCCCTTGAAAATTCGGAATTAAAATATTCTAAATATTGAACTAATTATAATAGGCTTCTGATGGGGACACACTGAGATATAGTACCATGTGGCATTCAGTTTTCACTCGTGTATTTAATATTGTACTTTCGTTTACAAAAGGAAAATTCAAGATCCCCAGATAATTATACCAACATTAAAAGTTCAGGGGGAAAAAAAAAATCAATCACCTATGCCAACATGTGCTTCCTGTATCATGCTTACATCATTAGCACCATCACCAACAGCCAATGTTATAGGTTTCTCAGGTGAGATTTTTATCAGTCTTATTACCTGAAAGATATACAAGTAATTAGGTACTTATGATAAAATTTCAACTTTCTTAGATTTATATAAAGTCATTTATCCGCAATGACTCTGTTAAAATAGAAAAAAATTAGTTTTATGTTAGACAATAGTATACCCTGGGATTTGTTTTTCGAGGGATGTCTCCACAAAGATGTCAGAAATGTCTTTAAGAAATGAGACTGGAAAATAGTACTATCTTGGATTTTATTATGGGAAGAAAGAATCTTCAAATACAGCTTAAATTTATAAAAATCATAATAATAATTGTGTAAAAAGTAACTATACTTAATTGAACTTTGACAGGCAAAATTTTTTATTTCTCAAGAAATTATTCTTTTCATTTGATATGGAAATAAAAGTAATTATTTTCTCCTGTAATAAAATTTAAAAAAACAATCAAAATTAAATTCAATAAAATTTAAAAAATGTTTCTTTGAAATTCTTGAGTGTACTTTTATAAAGAGCCTAGACATTAGCTCTGTCTGGTCTCTAGTTTTAGTCTCCACAGACTGGAGGGACATGTATTATAATAACATAGGCATTGTAACAAAATTCCATGGAGCCAAGAAAAATTGAATGTCTAATTTATTAGACTTGTATGTGAAAAAATCAGTGTTTACATGTGCATTTCAAAGGATACTGTTTATGAAGGATATAATCTAAGACCTCAAATTACAAAGTTGGAGTTCAAAAAATGTATGTATAGGCTTTTACTTGAATCACACCTGAAATTTAAATATTTTCTGTACATAACTTTATATCGCAAATTAATTGGCTTTTCAACTTCTTTCTAAAGTTCTATTACTTACCAGTCATTTTTTTCCCCTATTTTTTTACACACATCTATATTTATTGATTCCAGAGAGAGAGAGAGAGAGAGAAGAAAGGAGAGGGAGAGAGAAACAGAGAAAGAGAGAGACAGAAACATCGATGTGTGAGAAACATCGATTGGTTGCCTCTTGCACACACCCCAACTGGGGACTGAACATGCAACCTAGATGTGTGCCCTTTCCAGGAATCGAACCAGCAACCTTTTGGTGCACGGGAAGACACTCCAACCTACTAAGTCACAGCGTCTGGGCACTTAACTATTTTTAACAAAGAGAATTATCACTTCATGACAATGCAAGAATGAACAGAGATCAACAGAATCACTCAAAGGTGCATGTGAATTGAAGTCTCTTAGGCTCTGTCAGTAGGTAAGTAATTAACTTGTGAAACTTTAGTTACCACAGTTCAAATCACAAACTGCTACCCATCACAGCTATTCTAGGTTACGATGAACAGTGGAAACTTTTATAATCACTCTGGCAATTTCAATGTTCTAATGTACATGGTTAAAATTCCTAACATGAGAAATGACTGACTGACTCCTAGTAAGATTCATGTATTACATGCCACCAAATGAAACTAGGTAAGACACTGACCTTAAAGAATACTTTTAGATCTATACATCTTTATGAAACTTTTAGTAATACAAACATACCTTGGCTTTCTGCAGTGGCGCCATACGACAGCACAATACAGCTGAACAGTTTCTGCAAACGTCCATAAATAGTTTTTCATGCTCCCTGAGTGCAAGAGATAGACTGGTCCCATCCACCACAAGCCCATGCTGAATCACATGATCCTCTGTAATTCTAAAACAGAAAATAATTATATCCTCTGTAAGACACTTTGAAGTCATATTATTTATACTCAGTAAACAAGAGTCTCACTGAAAGAGGGACCATTCATCTACCAACTTTATTATTACAAAACTGGTATGTCAGGGAACAAACTAAACTGTATTATCTTGAAATAAAGATTAAGTGAAACTGAGAGTGACTGCTATTATGAATAAACAGATTATATTCAATTTTACAATGACTGAATTAGTTAACTGTATTTTCTAAATGTGAATTATAACATTCTGAGTATATCCTGAGTATAATCTGAATATATATTCTCCCAAATTATGAGTATAAAGTCTTATGAAAATAAAAACATTATTAGTTTCATTTCGTAAATCCTGATTTTAAAAAATTAAAAAATATTCAGGAAAATTCATGAACTAAATTATGTATACGTAGGAAGCAAATGAATAAAGGAATCATAACTGTTCTTGATATTAATTCCTACAATGGGCTGTGACTTGAGATATTACTCTGTGGAGAAACACGGGTAACACTGCCCTTGAGGGCATGCGCTAATAAATACTACTCAAAGTATGGGCTGATTACTGGCAGCTGGGCAAAAACTATTTGTTGCTAGGAAGAGATAAGAAGCTTGCATCAGTATGTAAACCAACTACATTACTGAAAACACTATTTTGTTCCACTGTTTCTCCCCATTCTCCGTTTAGAGTAAGATTTCTTGAGGAAAGAAGCAGTGCATAGATTGACATTCCGGTGCAAGCTCCTTCACGCTGTTGAAGGCCAGCACTCAAAGGAGCACTGTGCTACATCCACCGCAAGAACATCACGCTCATTTCACCACTGGGGTTACAATACAGTACACACTGCTACTAAGAAATACCCCTCTCTTTTAATTTTATTTTTTCCCCAGCTTTACTGAGATACTGACATATAACACATTTAAGTTTAAGGTGTGCAATGTGATGATTTGATACACATGTGTATTATGAAATAATCACCATTATATAAAAGATAGTACAAGTCTACTAATGAGAAAAATAAAAATCATTTTGGGAGAGAAGGAAAAGTAACATTTTGCCTAACTGGAGTTTAATGATTCTCATCATCAAAATCAATCACAAATGTCCATTTGTTAATGCTGACTCTGTAATGAAATTTTACATTTTAATACTACAGAACAATCTGCAATGAGATTTTATATCTTATCTTTCAATTTTTTTTAAAAGGTAGCATATTGAAGTGTCACTAAATAATACAATGCTTCACATCTAATTTGATAAAACAACACTATGCTTTAAAAGTGTGATATTAAAAGTCCATTTTTCTTGTTTGGAGCTGATGAGTAAATACTGATAACTGAAATATAATAAAACGACATACAACAATAGGTGTGGCACTCAAGACACTATGGAGTTAAAATTGTGTCACTGTTACTTGAAGTATATCAAGCAGCAGTGAGAAGTGAAAAAAGTGCTTCATAAGGTCTCTTGTAACTATTCAACTGTTCTGCTACAGAGCAAAAGCCTTCACTGATGTTAAGTAAATAAATGAATGTTGCTGTGTTTCAGTAAAAGTTTATTCACAGGCAAACTTTATTCACAGATACAGACATTACAAAGAAAGAAAACTATAGGCCAATATCTCTGATGAACAAAATATGAATTTCATATAATTTTCACAACATGAAATTAGATTCTTTTTTTATCCATCAGATAATGTAAAAATTATTTTGAGCTCACAGGCTATAAAAAACAGGCAGTGGGCCATAGTTTGCTTTCCCCTGAAAACTCAATGATCCAAATAATTATATTCTTACCTTCTGGCAAGCTGTCTCAACTGTTCGGCACATTCACTGTCTGATTTCTGGTTTATAAGTTCAAGAATATTCATGGTTCTGTGAAAATGCCCACATGATAAACTCACACTAACAGCTGTTTCGTGTTTATCTCCAGTGAGTACCCATACTTTGATACCGCCCATCCTCAATGCTTCAATAGTTTCTCGAACTTTATCTTGTAGTCTGAAAATAAAAGAAATAAAATCAGCAGTAGGAAATACCTTTCTGATTGTACTTTAAGTATAAATCAAACAGTGTAAGTAAGGTAAATTCTAGACTTCTTGACCTAGGAATTGTTACAGTAATGTTCAGTTCAGTAATATAACGGAAATTTTTTCCCATTAAGAAACAGAAATAACCAAATCAGTGATCAACTAGGTAACATAAAAAATCTACAACCTCATATTTTAAGAGTATATTTTCAAAGCTGATATTTACAGAACTAAGTATATGGTCTACCTAAACTATTTTATTAGAAAGTCTTACATTTCAAATTATAAGATTTTCTTTTTGGTAAGGAAATCTCTCATATCAGCAGTTCAAAAATTAGACTGAACACCTATAGATCTAAGAGGTAGAGAAAAATACAACAGAATTAATTTGTAGAATTCAATTTAATTCAAGAAACTAAAACACACATTGATACTGATGCTGGGAACAAAGAGAATAAATGGACCTCAAGGAGTTCACAGGCTGATGGAGAAGAAAATCTTTAAACAAGTAATTATATCATATCGCCAGAAGGACAACATTGATCTACAAAATACAGAGACTTCACAATCAGCTTTTTAAGAAAATAGACATACAAGTCCAGGAAGCTCAGAGAGTCCAAAATAAGTTGGATCCAAAGAGAAACACACCAAAGCACATCATAGTTACATTACCCAAGATTAAAAATAAGGAATCTTAAACGTAGCAAGAGAAAAGAAGAGAGTTACCTACAAAGATAGTCCCATAAGACTATCAGCTGATTTCTCAAAAGAAACCTTGCAGTCAAGAAGGGGCTGGCAAGAAGTATTCAAAGTCATGAAAGGCAAGGACCTACATCCAAGATTACTCTATCCAGAAAGCTATCATTTAGAATGGAAGAGCAGATAAAGTGCTTCCCAGATAAGGTAAAGCTAACCGAGTTCATCATCACCAAGTGCTATTCTATGGAATATTAAAGGGACTTATCTAAGAAAAAGATCAAAACTATGGACAGTATAAGAACTACAAACTCAACTATCAACAACTGAACATAAAAAAACAAAAACAACTAGAACAGGAATAGAATCACAAAAATTGAGATCACGTGGAGGGTTATCAACGGTTGGGGGGTGGACATGGAGTGAGGGAAAAGGTACAGGGAATAAGAAGCATAACTGGTAGATACAAAATAGACAGGAGGAGGTTAAGAATAGCAGAGGAAATGGAGAAGCCAAAGAACTTGTATATACAACCCATGGACATGAACTGGGGTCGGGGGGCATGTCAGAAGGAATGGGGGTACAAGGTGGAGGGGGATAAAGGGGAGAAAAAAATGGGACAACTGTAATAGCATAATCAATAAAATATACTTTAAAAAAAATCCTGTTAGAAGTTAGGAAAGGTCTTACTGGAGTAGGGTAACATCTGAAATGTACTTTATAAATAAGTATTAAAAAATGGGTAGCCTTGCCAAGGAACAAAGCCATAAAATAGAATAGTTTCAACTATAGCTGTTGTTCACAGAACTACAGAGACTTTGGTATTACTGAAGTATAAAGCGGAAGGATTCAGTGGTGGGAGGCGAGGCTTGAGAATTAAGCAGGTGCTTAAAGTTTTTGTAAGGCACACATTGAGGAGTATCCTAAAATTTAGGTCTATAGACAAAAGTATACATCTTTCATCTATTTCAAAGACTTAGCAAGAAGAAAAATTATACATATTAACTGGGAGAAAACGCTTTAACTCTATTTTGATTTTAAATATATTAAGTTATTATATCATGTTAAGTGAAATTTATGTCATAAATCAGAAATGGCTAATAAAATTCTTATGAGAGAAAAATGATATTGCCTATTTATCTGATACTTACCTGTCTTCTACTGCTGTAGCTCCAAGTAATATCAGGTCTTTCTCTATGAACTGGAAGACATTTGCCAACTTCTCTTCCCGTTGCTGCAAGGCAGTCCTGGCTTCAAAGAGGCGTCTATCTATTACCTCATACTCTCTAGATGGCAACTGTCTATAGGCCATGCACAGAGTTCTTAGCCCTTTCTAAAAACAGAAAAATTAAAGACAAAAATTGTACAAAAATAACTAATGAGGAATCATGAAATCACTGAAATAAAACTGAGGACCTCATTACCAAAAATCAATTACAAATAATTTAAAAAGTACTATCATTTAGTGATAGAAAGTAAGTGTCACAAAGACTTAGTGATTTGAGTTATGGAACACATATTATCATAACTCTTTCAATTCCTGATGAGTTCTTAAAAAGTTCTCAGAACAATTAAGGTCACTGAATTGTGGAATAGTAGAGAACAGACAGGATCACAAGATTATCTTATCTGTGGTTATTAAACCTGTAAAGCCAAGGAGTTCCATAATGGTACCTTCACAACTGTCAAGAGAAGCAGCAGCCCCAGGTTCTACTTTCCTGTTTTAACCATTACAAATCTACTCTACCTACTTCAAAGGAATTTTTTTAAGGGAACCATAATTTCCTGAGGGTTTATGGTATGACATATTTGCAATTCAAATAAAGAAGTATTTAAGGTAGCCATTCTCAAACAATACTTTCTAGAGCCACTGAATGATTAAAAATTGTATCATTACATCTTCACTGGTGAACTGGAATTACGTAAAATTTAAAAACATGTATTTGATTTTCTGATACTACAGGGTCCAAATTTGTCTTATGGTGTTGATATTTGAAAGTTAGTATTGAAATCTAAAAGCTCATTTAAAAAAGTTTCTTTTCTTGCATGTATTTTCCTTAGAAAAACCCAAATTAAATGTTCTTGGAAAGGTAGATTTTTAAAGTACTATATAACACTATTTAGCAGATTTCTAAAAAGTGGCATTCCTTGATATACAAATGAACCACACCTATAAATTATGTAATTGTTTCTCTTAGATAACAGTTAAGGGACTACGGGACTTATTGATATATTAACTTAATTAGTTCATTCTACACCAAACATTTACTGGGTACATTTAGCTATGTGCCAGCACTGTTCTGAATACTGGTATGATACTAAGGTAGAACATGTCTTTGTTCTCATGGATGTTATAGTGTGGTCCCATCAATAATTAGGGAAACAGTAATGGGAAAAAAGAAACCATAGGTGGAGGAGGCAGTTGAACAGAGGTGAGTATACAGCATGCAGAAATAGAGATCATGAAGTCTTAAGACTGAGAGGGCTGCTTAATAATTTTCCTGTTCACGTATTTGTGCACTTTGTTTCTGAAAGATTCTTCTACACTTTCATTGAGAGATATAATTCATATACCATAAAATTCTTCCTTTAAAGAGTATTTCAGTAGTTTTCAGTGAATTCAAAGAGCTGTGTAATTATTTTTAATAATTCCAGAACATTTTCATCACAGCCAAAAGAATCCCATATCCATTAGCAGACACTACCCTTTCCCAGCTTCCTCCAGACCTTGGCAACCACTATGAATTTGCTTATTTCCACATGACTGGCCTCTGTGGACTTTTGTGATTAGCTTCTTTCACCCAGTGTAATCTTTTCAAGGTTCATTCACGTTATAGGCTATATCGGTCCTTCATTTTTTCAATGGCCAAATAACACTCCATTATATGGCCATGGCACATTGTTTAATCCATTCATCAGATGATGGACATTTGGGTGCTTCCAGTGTTTGGCTATTGGAGTAATGCTGCTGAGAGGAGCATTTTGTGTACAAATTTTTGTGTAGATGTATGTTGTCGATTCTCTCAGGTGTACACCTAGGAGTGGAATTGCTGGGTCATATATTATACTCCATGTTCTATGAGAAACTGCCAAACCATTTTCTGAAGTGGCATTTATATTCCCACCGTCAATGTATGAGGGTTCCAGGATCTCCACATCCTTGTGATTCCCTTGTATTCTTTTAGTAACTCTCCTCCCTTTTTTACATAATTTGAGTGGTCCTTGTAGCTACAAGTCCCCTGACTATAAAAGCTTCAAAGAGAAGACAAATCTTGACAGGTGAAAGTTAATTTTTAACCAAGTAATATGGAGCCAACACATAATTCTATGATTTTTGATAAATTAGTACAAAAAGAAAACTCCAAATCTCTCAAAAATATATTCACACATACGTATGTATTTATGTATCTTTCAGAGTTTTTAAATCACAGAAATTTGCACTCACCAAAGCAAATTCATCTACATGAATTCTGGTTTTTTCTATTTCTCCACCTATACAGTTAGGGAGAATTGATGATTCAGCTCCTTTAGCAAATAAAAACTTCTCACCTAAAAAGAAAAATGAATTATCAAGCTCTTAATTTTTATTAGATATATAAAAATTCACAGAAGTTTAGGCTGGTTACCTGAAGGTGCCTGAACAATTACACTCATTCTTCTACGATCTGAATCAAATTCCAAAATATGAAGCAGTTTGTACCTAATGAAAAAAAAAAGGCAAGACAAAACTTTACTTTTTTGAATAATATTAGGTAAATATTTAGAAAGAATCCCTATAAGATAAAAAAGATTAATTTAGAACAAGAAATTAACCTCAACTACATTTTCAGGATGACTGGTTATAGAAATACAAGTAATATTTATTGAGTACTTACCAAATACCCTGTAACTTTACCTGTGTCCTTTAATACCCATGAGAACCAAAGGAGATTGGTCTCATCTCTTTACAAATGAGGGCTATTAAACTCAGAAAGATTAAGTGATTTGCCTAAAGTCAAATAAACTTGTGAGTAGCAGAGCAAGGACTGAAATCTCGATATGCCCATGTCTTTCTCACCAAATAGGTGACTGATCCTCAACCCTTCTTCTGCTCACACACACCTGAGAAATGCAACACACTCATATGAGTAACGGAGGTTCCTGATAGAAGTGATTCTGAACCTGGGACAGAACAGATGTGTATAGGTGGGGGAACAAATTTCTCTCTAAGGAGCTGTAAAGAATGTGTGGATGGGTCAGGTGTGGATTGAAAAATATTCTGGATGAATTTATACAATGATGTACTATGTGATGCTGAAAAATACCGACTGGAATAATAGTTTATAAGTAGATAGAATGAGCCAGACAGACTCCCACATGAAAATAGCCAAAGAGTAAGCTCTATTTAGTTTTATAAAAGCATAGTCTGAAAATGTAGAGTTGGAGTTGAGATAACTGAAATGAATAAAACCATGAAAGATCCAAATGTAGGAAGAATGGTCTAATTAATTGTACAGTGGACACAAGATAGCTTTTTCCTTAATCATAGAAAATGAAAGAAAGTTTTTCTTCATTAGTAAGAAACTTAGGAAATTCATTACCCCAGGAGGGTGTAAAAATAAACATATAAATAAATTCAAGAACCATTATACTAAAATACTACTGTTAAGCTATTGTTATCAATGTGATGAGATACAATGTAATAGTAACACTGTTTTAGTGCAGGGTCAGTAAACTTTTTCTGTAAAAGGCCAGATAGTATTTTAGGTCCTTCATGACATATGATTTCTTTTTTTCTTTTTCTAACAACCCCTTATAAATGTAATAGTTTGTGCACTGTACAAAAACAGGCTGTAGGCCAGATATGGCCTGTGGGTCACAATTTACCTAAATCTGTTCTATACTAAATGCTCGACATACAGAATATTGCAAGATAGAAAAAAATTACCGTTCCAATTTTCCAAGTGTTTTAACTTCCATTGTTTCTTCAGAACTGCCAATAAATACAATGCCCAGTCTAGGGGTTAAAAGGAGGAAAAATATAAAAATTTAAGGAATGATATTTCATATTTCATAATACATCACCATAACGTAGCTTGAATAAAAATATTTAACACATAAGTTTAAGATGTATTTTAAAATATTTCATTTGAATATGGCATTATTTTTAAGAACCTGAAGGATCAGAGAGGGTCCAAAATAATACATACAAACATATATTCTCACAATTTATATTATTCATATTGAATAACCAGATTTTCAGAAATCACTTCAAAACATGACTCTTGCAAGCTTAACAAAATAACACATTTTAAATTCTCATTAAAAATTTAAAATACAATCTACCTTTATGTGTTTATGAATTTTGTCTGACAATATTCTAGTATTTTCACATTTTTATTTAAAAGATGTGTTTCTGATGATTTCGATATCAGACTAAACTACCTTGCAGCAGCTTCCACGAGAGCCTTTTCATCCGGTGAAGATGCATAGTATTCCAACTGGGAGGGTGCAAGGTTGGACTGCCAGGGACCGTCACCAATGCCATCCGTCTGAACATTACTGATTTGTACAGTATGACAGAGACTGACTGCTTTAAAGAAGAGATCGTGTTCTTTAATCTGCAGAAACATAATTAACACTCACACTATAAATACTATTCCCAAATAACATTTAGGAAATCAGAAAGAGAATTCTAAAAAATATAAATAAATACAGTTAATAATTTGGTAACCTAAGATCTAAAATAACAATGTTACAAACTTGAACTGCCTAAGTAACAGCTCACTGCATCCGCTTTAAAGAGTAAAATGTCACATTTGCTTATGACCCTTCAACTTTTTAGGAGGCGTAACCAAGTTGTAAGTTAAAGATGAAACTTCTTTTGTTGAAGAAGTGAGGTCTCAGAAAGTATTAAATAAATATAAACTCTATTCCCCAGCAAAGTCTTCTTTACTTCAAGGCAATAAGGACTTTCCTTAACTTAGTTCCATTTAAATACCAAGAGAACTAATGCAAACACACATTATGTGACAAGTTAAACTGGGTTATGACTATAAATTCTCAGTATTAAATCAATGTAAATACACTGCAAATACGTATTTCTTGCCCCACTAATACAAAGAGAACTCTTGCAAATGAAACTCCTATTTATTAATTTAAAATTGCTTACTAGTTCAGTTTCACTTTCAGGACTGGTTCTAAAAGAAGAACTGGATGTAAGATGGGATAAGTTGTTAAGATGGGATAAACTACTAAGGTAACTTAAGCTTCCTTCTGCAGATTCTGGTGTTGGTCCTTCAGATACAAGTCTACCATTAATTTCTTGGTATTTTATGCCATTAATTGAACATTCCCGAAACTGCATCTCATTTTCTGTCAGTGTGCCAGTTTTATCCGTAAACACATACTCCACCTAGAGAGAGAAAACAAAAGAAAACAAATCTTTGTGTTCATAGTCCTATGTTAAACAAAAACAGTTGGCCTCTATCTCAAGTCTACCTATTAAAATCGATATGCTGATGCTGATTCTTTTAATCTAAGCACAATGAAATAATTAAAGATGCCATGGAAACAAAGCAGGATAACAGAAAATATTTAAAGATATATACATTTTGAAGTTTGTGGCGTCTTTAGAGATGACTGACAACGTGGTAGTATTATTTCTTTGCTACTTCCTGAGTAAGATATTTTAAAAAGATTTTATTTATTTTTAGAGAGAAGGGAAGGGAGGGAGAAAGGGAGAAAAAAGTAGATGGGTTGCCTCTTGCACACCCCCAACTGGGGACCTGGCCCACAACCTGGGCATGTGCCCTGACTGGGAACTGAACCAGCAACCTTATGGTTTGCAGGCTTGTGCTCAATCCAGTGAGCCACAGCAGCCAGGGCTGGGCAAGGTGTTTTCCAAGAGGACTCAAGAATGCTTTGTGAACAAGGATGGAAGGGACGCTTAATTAACTTAGAATGTGAAAAGTATCTGGTCCAGGAGAAATGGTACAGAGCTGGAAACAGGAACAGAAAATGATAGCAATACAAAAAGTCAGAGGTGGAAGTTGTCTAAAACAGAGGAAATTCAAACTGAGGACAGGAAACAAACGCAGTAAAAGAAATGTTTAAAAACATGTTTTTTATAAAGTTAAGCATGTGGAATTTATCCTTGGAATGCAAATTGATTCAATATAAAATTCAATGAAACCCATGATAATAATATGGCACTTGTCCTTTATTCTAGTTTCAAAATTACCTCGATAAATGTAGAAAAGCATTTGACAAAAGCCAATAACCCTTCATGATAAAAATAAAAACAAAAATCACTCAACAAATTAATAGAAGGGTACTTCCTCAACCTGATAAAATATATCTACAAATACCCATAGGTGGCAAAACACTTAATGGAGAATGACTGCATGCTTTCCTTCCAAGTTCAGAAATCAGACAAAGATGTTTGCTCTTGCCATTTTTATTCAACACTGTACTGACGGTTCTAGCCAGGATAGTTAGGTAAGAAAAAAGGAATAAATATTTTCTTGGAAAAGAAGAGGTAAAACTATCTCCATCTGCAGAAAACACGACCTTGTATTTTATGTTCCTGTTCCTATACAGATTATGGAATCCACTAAAAAACTGCTAGAAGTAATAAATGAGTTCAGCAAAATTGCAGAATAAAAAGATCACCATATACCAAGGGAGGCAGAATTAAAGTTGGAACAAAAGTGTTTTGATCAAGACATAAAGATACATGAAAAACTATACTTCAAAGTTCATAGTTTTGGAAATAGTGAAGATAAATATAATAGTTGAGACACAGGAGTTCTGCTATGTAAACTAATAATAAAAAAAGCCAACAACTGGCCCTGGCTGGGTGGCTCAGTTGGTTGGAGAATCATCCCGTACACCAAAAGGCTGCCAGTTTGGTTAGGCTGTACACGGGAGGCAACCAATCGATGTTTCTCTCCTTCTTCCTTCCTCTCGCTGTAAATTCAATGAACATATCCTTGGGTAAGGATTAAAAAAAAAAGCCAGTAACTGTACAACACTATTTCCCAAGCATTGCTAAGTGTTCTAACTCCTCTCAACAACTCCATGAGGTTAAGTATTATTATTTATGTTTTAGAGAAGAGAAATCTAAGCAAGAGTAAGGTAAAGTAACCTTCCCCACCATGTAACTAGCAAATGGTGAAACTGGAAATAAAAGATAACATACTTTATCTTTGCTATGTGATATTAAAAGGTGGCCAGTATCATAGCAAACTTTGAATTGTTACTTAAAGATGGATATTAAGAGATGTCACTTACTTACACAAGTTAACAAAAAAACTTAGATTAGGAGGAATGAATATGAGATACTAAACAAATAAAACTCCGAAGGTGATTAGAATAGAGAAACCTATCAGTCATAGAGGATTCTCTAGAATTAAAATTATAGTAGAAATAAAATAAATTTATTTTGATTAAAGAATATATAAAATCAAGTGTTTCATCTTTTAACTTTGGTGGTAAAGAGGTCACTATACACCTTCATTAAGAATAATTTCTTAGGGAGGAAATGAAAGGGCATAGAAGAGTAAAATAGACCTCATAATAATAAAATTGAATAGGAATTGAAGCAATAAACATATATGAAATACTTGCAGGCTTAAATGTAAAAGGAGAGGCTGAGATAATTAAAGAAAATTAATCATCACTTACAGTTTCTTAAAGAGAAAGCAGATGCGGGTATGCATACGTAGTGTGAGGTTCCAGAAAAACAATATTCTACCATGAAGGAAAGAGGAGGAGGAGAAAATTGAGATAGAAAGGTCAAAGAATAAAGTGCGTTCAGAGAAGCAGTAAAAGACAGGCTGTGTGTTTAGGTCTTGAATGTGTGATACATAATTAAAGACATGACATGAATTAATATTCAGCATAAATTATTAAAGCCTCCTAAATGCTACTAAAAAAATGGATCAACTTCTGGTTAAAAATGGCCCATTAAACAAATGTAATCATCTCTGTCCCTCTTAAAACTTCACCAAAATAAGAATAAAGGACTTAAAAAAAAACAAACCCAAAATAATGGTAGGAAAGACAACATGGAAAAGGAGACGACAAGTTTAGAAGATGGAAAGATGAATGAGTGGTGACTTAGCAGCACTTAGAATATGAGACCTACCCAAAGGGGGAAAGCCTTTCCCAGAAACTCTCAGGAAGTAGATATACCAGCTACCACTGAATGTGGGAGCACAGGATGGGGCTGAAAATGGAAGTATCAGGTACAGTTTGAACTCTGAAATTCCTTCATAATTTGCAAACTGCAAACTGCCTCTCATCTATCAGAGCCACAGCTGTAAGGTTTAATTCCCTAAGGAGGCTGAACCAGAGAGAATCTGAACTCTGGGAAGCTGAAAAAGGCACGAGGAAGCTGAAAACGGGTGAGGGAGTCTGCTAAAAGCAGGAAGATTTCTACCGGCTGGCTCCAACAATCACAAGCAGCAGAAATGCTACCTGCAGTAATTTTCTCTGAGGAAACTGAGGAAAGAGCAATACTGGTATTTCGGGATACCTCCCAAAACAGCTGGGCTGCCAGGCTTTTCAAGGGAAAACTTTTTATACTTGTAAAGAAAACCAAAGACTGTCATTGAGGATCACCTCTTAAATAAAACATAGAGCCTAAAACAAATTACAATCAGTTCTGCTATAACACTGACTTGAAAACATAAATTACAATGAGATTTATATATAAGAAAACAATTTGAGCATAACATGAACTTTGTACTTGCTTATGCATGATTTCATCTGTGAGAAAACTAGGTGAATGCAGAAAACTTCTGCATCCAAGCAGAGTAGGAACATACATACATGAAATGAAAAAAATCTCGAACTGTTACCATCTACCTCAGGTCATCATGTTATAAGCCACATGCACCCACATGTGGTATTACTACTTTGCTTCTATTTTCAGAAAAGCTTCCTTCCAATACTTCACAATAATACACAGTCTGAAATACTTCTGGTGGCCACTTTCACAAGTGACTGTCAGGTCTTTTTCAAGATAAAGCCCCATATTTTTACTGTAGTATTTATGTACTGCTTAACAATTTAGCAATTGGTGTTATTAGGTTCCTATCTTTGTATTTTAAGCATGTTACAAAATATTTGTAGTACCCCTAAATCCCATTTTCTCTTAAGCCTTGTGGTTTTTACTACGCACTTTGCCTAGCACGACGACTTTCAGGAATGCATGTGTCATACTACAGCATGACTGACTCTACTGAAAACAAGAATCAGGAGCAAAGTGAAAACGTGGGGAGCACAAGGTTTTAAATAAATTGTCATGAATATCCTCAGAACGCTAAAATAATAGGTTATATTCAAGAAACAGGAGTAAGATGCAATTAAAATAATACCAATCAGATAGATATACTGAAATATGAGGAATTAAAAATCTGTAACAAAAATATACCAAAAGACAGGTGGAAAAGGAGAGTTAATGAATTCTCCCAGACAAGCTATAAAAATAGCTGAAAATTGAAAGTCAGAATTAGAGAATCAGAAAATAAGACCAGCCACACTGAAAGAAAAAGAAACCAATAGAGACAAGAGGGAAGGAGGAAGGGGGGGCGGGAGAAAAGGAAGGGAAGGGGCAAGTCAAGGAACATATAGCAAGGACTCATGGACAAAGCCAAAGTGGGGAAGGACTGAGGGAGGGAGAAGGGGGAATGTGAGCAGGGGAAAGTGGAAGGGGGAAGGCAGAGACAAATGTATTTGGAAAAATAATTAAAAAAAAAAAAAAAAAAAAAACCAAGCCAAAAAAAGAATTAGAGAATCAAGATAAATGATCTGTCAAATAATTTTTTTAAAAAACCCAAAAAGAAATGTTATCAAAGAAATAATACAAGAAAAATTACCAGCTTTGAAGAACATGTGTTTCTAGAAAAGGCTCAGAGTTCATTGCACAATAAAAAGAGCCAAAAAATTAAAAAATAAAAAAACCCTCACCAAAGTGCGTGCACACACACATACACATACTCAACAACAACAAAAACATCACACTAAGGTTCATCATAAAATTTCAGAATTATCTCATAAAGAAAGATCGTGAACATTTTCAGAGATAAAAAAACAGATCACACATAAAAAACTGGGACTCAGAATGGCACTATATTTCTCAACATTGGAAGCTAGAAAATGAAAAAATATTTTTGAAATTTTGAGGGAAAATAACTTTCCACCTGAAATACATTACCCAGCTAAATAATTAATCCAGTATGGAAAGGGAACAAAGAAATTTCAGAAATGCAAAGTCTCTAAATATCTTCCTACAATAGGGCCAGAAAGAAATCCAAATTGAAACAAAGATAAAAGCTTCTAAAAAGCTGCCACCAAAAACAGAAAAGAGAGAGAGAATCCTAGATTACCTACTGTGTCTGAATATGTAGAGAAAGGTTTCACGCAGTCATCAAAGAAATATTTGTAATATATTAAAATTAAGTAAATGAAAAAACAGAGCAATTAGCTCTAGGGAAAACAAACTACATATGAAATAAAATGTAATTATAGCATTACAGAGCACACACAAAGAACCAGAAATTAGGGAGCAACACTAAAACAGTCAAAATAATGCCAATAAGTGAGTATTTATTAAATCCCAAATTGTGATATAACAATACTGAGGGGTCTGTGGGGAGGCAAAATGGGTACGTGTCAGAGTATGTGTGTGAAAGGAGTAGTGCAAGAGTTTTGTCTTTAAGTTGCATAGTAAATAATACCTAAAATGTAAAAATCTAGAAAGAATACTATATAGAAATAGGGTACTAGATAAAGGAAGAAAGAGCTTTAAATAAAAATGGTAAACAAAATTAGGTGTGGAGCAAAGTAGGGCTGTTTTTTGGTGTAAGCCTTGTAGTATCTTCTTTTTTTACTAGTTTTTTATACATGTAGTTTTGATAAAAATAACAAATCAGAAAAACAAATTAAAAGGATCATTTACCTGTCCAAGCTCTTCATTCAGATCAGAGGTATTGACTTGAGCTTTCTGATCTGATTCTTCATGATAGAGATCAAGATCCCAGCCAATAAAAAATGATCCAAGAAATTTCTGCATTTCTACTGTCACATATAATGAAATTGGAATGATGAAATTGTAGAGTACCAAAAAGGCAAGGAAGTCTGAAATAAATCTCAGAATCTAGAGGAAAAACATGATCATTTGGTAAGTGAAAATATGAGAGTATCTTCATCTAATTATCAGAAAGTTGCATGTCTAAACAAACCATTAACTCTTTTGAAGCAGAATAGTCTCATGAATTAAAACTTATTTACTGAATGTTTTAACACATTTCCTTGGTAGAGCTCATAAGACTCTTGTACAAAGTCAAAGGAAAAAAAGGTTAAACTCAAACTACTATTTCTTACTTTGCAGCTGCCAAAAAGCCTGGTGTGACTGAAGCTGCTTTTGGCAAATTTTTCATTATCATCTCTGGAATATGCTTATCATTCTATTTCTACTCTTCAAAATTACGCATAACTAAAAATTGACAGTAATTTTAAAAAATTATAAAATAATTGCCAGGCTAGAATCGCTAGAATTTGAAACTCTTAAAATTTCAGATTATACAGGAATAGCCTACTTCAATGGCACAGCAGCACCAAATTTTAACATGTCTTCTGTGAAAGGAACTGGTAATATGTTCCCATGATTATCTGCTTTGTGGTCTCCTGAGACCCAAATTTGTATTTCCATATTTATATTTTAACTGAAAGTGAAATCTGAAGAACAACTAGTTACCAAAATTACAGGTTAAATTCTCTTGGTAGTCCATATTTAATCAGTTTAAAACTCTGTATGACAACATCTGTGTTACTACTGCATGCCATCAATAGACTGACAGTAAGATTCCTTGAATTATTCTGACAAAAATTGAGAATAAATCAACTTCCTCTTTATTTCACTTATAGTATACAGAAATAAAAAACTAAATTTGTAGTATTCAAGTGGAATGCCAATACAGACAATTGAAATTTTTGTAATTTCTTGTAACTATTCAAGTCATGCCACAGAAAATATAATTGTTTACATCCTAAAATGCAAAAAGCATGTTAGTACAAACAGGCTGGTACTCTTCTTCCGCAATTTCCTTCCCCCCCCCACTTGTGTTCTTTTTTATTTTTATTTACAGTTTACTTTCAATATTTTTTTGTGTTGATTTCAGATGTGCAATGTTCTGTTGTCATCCTTCAGTATTAATGGTTTTAGGAAGAGCATAGTGGGCACTCCTATCAGAAGTCACTAACAAAGAATTAATTTGCTAAACAATAGTTTCCTTTACAGTAGAGTGAAGAACACCATAAAATACCTTACTACTGTTTCTTTGATGTTCTGTCTTTTGGTTATACCAAGGTTCATCCCATTTTTCTTCAGCTTGCCATGTGTATTTCAAGATAGTACTGATGATGGCTTCAGAAATAAGGATTATTAGATAAATTATCAAAAATGTATTCATTGACCTGAAATGAGAACAAGAGAACATAAAACATATTAGTTACATGTTACTATATATGGCTTGGAAAGTAATATTGATATTAAATAAGATATTAAAATATATATTACAGCAGCTATTTAAAGGACAGTCTTTTGTTTTTAAGAAATGACCATTCAACAGGATCTATTACTAGCAATAAAATAACCAATACATAAGATTATAAGCCTATTTATTATAGTTATGTTACTGTTCAAAATGCTAATAGTAACTGACAGTTTTGACCAATTATTTTTTGTATAATTATTCTAAGACTGTTTGCATTTTCAGGACTTATATAATTTTAAGTATAAACATAACTAACATTTATGTAGCATTAAGACTTATAAAACTTTTGTCATGTCCACTAATTTGTCTGATTTTTATTAAAACTGAGAGGAAGAGATTACATCCTTCTCAATGAAGACCAAAGCCCAAAAATCATTCTGTAAACTTCCCCCAAATCACACGGGTCAGGAACTGACTGTAGAATCCTCCTTCTTTTCATTGGGCTAGCTTAATATTACAATTTTTCACTAGGCAACATTAATATTAGGTCTTTGTTTCTTTCATCAGCATTTTATAATTTTCAGCGTTCAGACCCTGTATTTTGTTAGATGTACATCTAGGTATTTCTCTTTGGGGGAATGATTACAGAAAGTATTGTTTTTAATATCAGTTTCTGTCACTGGTGTTTCTTTTCTCATATATATATATATATATATATATATATATATTTAGTGCTGTGACAATTTTTTTTTATTCCTCGCCTGAGGACACACTTATTGGCTTTAGAGAGAGACGAAGGGAGGGAGAGAGAGAAGAGAAGCAATTGGAGGTTGCCTTTTGTACTCATATGCACCCCAACCAGGGACACACAACTCACGCCTGTGCCCTAACCGGGAGCTGAACTGAGACTTTTTAAGGGACGACACTTCAACTGAGCCACACCAGCCAGGACTGCGACAGTTAATTTTATGCACCAACTTGACTGGGATAAGGGAAGCCAATATAGAACATATTTATTCTATCTGATAAAACACTATTTATGAGTGTGTCTGCAAGGGTGTTTCTAGAAGAGATTCATATTTGATTCAGTAGACTTAAAGTGTTACATCCTCACCAAGGTAGGCGGGCATCATCCAATCCACTGAGGAACCAAATGGAACAAAAAAGTGAAGGTAGAGCAAATAGTCTGTTTTAGCTGGGCCATCAGAATTCCTGGTTCTCAGGGCTGTGGACTCCAGGTTATACTTGGCCCCGTGGTTCTCTGGCCTTTGACTCACACTGAATGATATCATCGGCTTTCCTTGGTTCTCCAGCTTGCAGATGGCAGGTTGTTGGCTACACAACCCTGTGAGCCAATTCCTGTAATAATCTCCTCCTATTTATAACCTGCTGGTTCTGTTTTACTTTAGCTGCATTCTACAAAATTTAACACATTGTATTTTCATTGACTTCTAGATATTTTTAACCATTTTCTTTGAGATTTCCTCTTTGACACATAGATTATTTAGAAGAGATACAGTTATTCCATATCCTTGCAAATACTTATAACTTTTAGTCTTTTTAATTTTCAACATTTCCAGTAAGTGTGTACTGGTATCTCTTTGTAGTTTTAGTTTATATATCTCATGATTAATGATGTTGAACATTTTTTATGTGCTTATTGGCCATTTGTATATTTTTTGTATAGTAACTGCTTCATCTTTTACCCATTATCTTTATTGGGCTGTTTTTCTTTTATTAATGGATTTATAGCAGTTTTTATGTATTATTATATAGTCTGGATACAAGTCCTTTATCAGACATGTTTTTTGAATACTGTCTCACAGTTTATAGCTTGCCTGTTTCTTTACTTAAAAGAATAGTCTGATGAGCAGAAGTTTTTAATTTCATGGAAGTTTATCATTTTCTTTAATGGCTATTGCTTTTTGTATCCTAAGAAACATTTACCTATCCCTAGGTTATAAATATATCTTCCTAAGTTTTCTTCTAAAGTTCTATAGTGTTAGCTTCTATGTTTAGATGATTCATCTTAAAAAACATTTTGGTGTACGCTATGAGGTAGTAGGTGAGGTTTATTATCCGCCCCCTGGCCCCCCACCATAGATATCCAGCTGTTGTTACATTATTTGTTGAAAAGATGATCATTTTCCTCACTGAATTTACTTGAGGCCTGGTTGAAAATCAACTGACCATATATGAATGGGACTATTTCTCAATTCACTATTTCACTCCATTGAACTATTTTTTTTGCTAATACTATACTACACACAGATCAGTGGAACAGAATTGAGAACCCATAAATAAAACCACATGTATATGGGCAAATAATTTTTGATAAAGGAGCCAAAAACCTACAATACAGAAAAGAAACCTTCTTCAATAAATGGTGCTGGGAAAACTGGAAAGCCACATGCAAAGAACGAAACAAGACTACAGCTTGTCCCCATGTACAACAATTACTTCAAAATGGATCAAAGACCTAAATATAAGATTTGAAACAATAAGTTACATGGAAGAATAAATAGTAACTGAACTTACAGACCTTGGCCTTGGAGAAGATTTTATGAATTTGACCCTAAAGGCAAGGGAAGTAGAGACAAAAAGAAATGAATGGGACTGTATGAAACTAAAAAGATTCTGAGCAGCAAAAGAAACCGCCAACAAAACAAAAAGGCAACCAATTGAATAGGAGAAGATATTTGCTCCAACAAGGGATCCATATCCAAAGGAAGGGATCCATATCCAAACAAGGGATCCATATCCCTTAGGAAGATCTATGTAGAGAACTCATACAACTCAAAACCAAACAAACTATCCAATTAAAAAATGGGCAGAGGACCTATACAGACACTTCTCCCAAGAAGACATACAAATGACCAACAGATATATGAAAAGACACACAACTTCACTAGCTATTTGGAAAATGAAAATCAAAACTTCAATGAGAGACCACCTCACACCTGTTCGGATGGCTATTATCGGTAAGGTGAGTAATAACAAGTGTTGGAGAGGTTGTGGTGAAAAAGAAATACTCATTCACCGCTGATGGGAATGTAAACTGGTAGAACCACTATGGAAAACAGTGCAGAGGTTCCTCAAAAAATTAAGAACAGAGTTACCATATAACCCAGCAATCCCTCTTCTGGGTATCTACCTGAAAAAATGTGAAAACATTTATTCACAAAGATACAGTATATGCACCCCTTTGTTCACTGCAGCATTATTCACTGTGGCCAAGACATGGAAACGACCAATTTGTCTTTATCAGATGACTGGCTAAAGAAGATGTAGTACATATATGAGGGGGGACACTCCCCCCAAAAACAAAAAAACAAACAAAAAAATTGGAATTATCTTCTGGAGGGCAGGTCCCTTGTAGTACAAGCTTCCCTGGTAGGTGAGTGATCTAAGAATGCATCAGTATCAGTGTATTAGCTGGCATTGTGTGAGAGGCTGTGTTTAGCTTCAGTGAATTTTTTTGAAGGATCCTTCAATGTGACTGCCAATTTCCCAACATGGAAGCACAAAAAACGGCAGAAGCATTAAAAGGCATCAAAATCGATGAATTTAAAACAGTTTTGAGCAGTGGGAAAAAGACTTGATAGGTGTATTGCATCAAATGCAGAATACTTCGAAGGTGACTAAAGTTTACACATATGAAAATAAATACACAATTTTTTTATAAATAAATTCCGGTTGTTTTCGGGTCCCCCTTTGTATACAATGGAATATTAGTCAGCCATAAGAGAAGATGAAATATTGCCATTTGTAACAACACGGATGGACCTTGAGAATATCATGCTAAGCAAAATAAGTCAGTCTGAAAAAGCTAAGAACCATGTAATTTCACTAAGTGGCACATCAAACTAAAATTCAGACACAGACAACTGAATGGTGGTTGCCAGAGGGAAGGGTGATGGTGGGATAGTAAAGGGTAAAGGGGGCCAAATATATAATGAGAAAAGATAATCTGACTGTGGGTGGTGGGCACACAAGGCAATATACAGATCAGGTATCAGAGAAGTGTGCACTTGAGAACGATAAAACCTTATTAACCAGTATCATCAATTAAACCAATTAACCAATTAAATATCAAATAAATTTAATTTTTTAGAAAGTCAGGTAATGTAAATCCTCCAGCTTTCTTAGGAGATTGTTTTCATTATGCACTTTGCACATGCATTTTCACTACTGCATTTCAGTATTTGGTTTAGAATCCCTTGTCAATTACTACAAAAAAGCTTATCAGGATTTTAATTAGGATTGAAAGAATCTAAAAATACTGAGCCCGACAATCAATGTTATTTCTGCATTTATTTGTTCTTCTTTAATATCTCTTACCATGTTTTATACTTTTCTTATGATGTTGCACAAGTTCTTAAAAAATTATTTCTAAGTGCTTTATGCTTTTTGACACTACTGTAAAAAAGAACTTTTAAATTTAATTTTTCCTACTTTTTTCTTCTATTATATAGATATAAAATAATAAAAAAAAAATTGATCCTAGGACCTTGCTAAATTCATGTATTCTAACAGTTTTTTGTTGAATGCTTACAACTATTTAAAAAATCATGTCTTCAAATAGGGGAAATCTTCTTCTTATTTCTCGTACTTACGTCTTTTATTTCTTTGTCTTGTGGCATAAATAAGACTTCTAGAAACAAGTTGAAAAATAGTGAGGCCAGTACCCTGGACATGAGTCCTTTACAAGATACATACTTTGCAAATATTTTCTCCTATTTTATGGCATGATTTTTTCATTTTTCTAACAATGTCTTTTGAAATGCAAGTTTTAATTTTTATGAAGTTTAATTTTGGATTTTGTTTTTGGTTCTTTTTTTTTTGTATGTTTCCTATCTAAAAAATCATTTTTTAATCCAAGGTTACACACATTTCCTCCTATGTTTTATAGATTAAACTCTTATGTTTCGAGTTTTACATTTGGAGTTAGTTTTTCTATATGGTGGGAGATAAGGATTAAGGGTTAGTTTTTGGAAAATGGATGCCCAAATGTTCTGGCCCCATATATTAAAATTATTTTAGTGTGGATTGAGTTTTTATAATAAATCATCTGTTTGATAGATACAGGACAGTTTACATTTTGTTTCATCCTGTGTCAATTTCTGGAAGTTGTGTTTTCAAAGAATTTGCCATTTCATCTAGAAAAATTTAGTGACAAAACGGTTCATAATATTTATCCATGGATAAAGTGACCACAGTAGGTAGGAATCTATAGTGATCGCCTCTCTTTCGTTCCCAATACTGGTAATTTTTTAATATTTCTCTCCTACAACTCTTCTTTTTTCCGCCTTGATCTGCTAACCTAGGTAGAGATTTATCAACTCTATTAACATTATCAAAAAAAATCAACTTTTGGATCTGTTAATTTTGTCTATTGTTTGTTTTCTATTCTGATTTTAGCTCACAGCTTTAGTATTTCTAGTATTCCTTCCCTTCTCAGATTGAGTTGAATTGCTCTTCTTTATCCAGCTTCTTAAAGAGACAGAAATTTCGATGACTGATTTTAAGCTTCTCTTCTCTTAAATAAACATTATCAGAAACTTATCTCTAACCCAGGCATTGCCTTTGTTTTTTCCTCAAATTTTAGAAATTTTCAATTATTTTTTTCAAATATTTTTATTCTGCCTCTTCTCTTTTTCAGGGGACTTTCTCATACTTATGTTAGGTAGCTTAACATTGTCACAAATGGCTCTGAAACTGTTCATTTTTCCTATTACATTTTTCTTTCTGTTCTTCAGATAGAATAATTTCTATTGTTCTTTGAAGTTCACTGACAATTTCTTCTATTTTCTTCACCTTGATGTTGAGCCATTCTAATAACATTTACATTTCAGTCATGGTTTTCAACTCAAATACTTCTACTGAGTTCTTTTTTATAGTTCCCATTTCTATTCTGAGATCTCTCATGTTCACTCACATTTTCCTTTAGGCCTTTGAAAATATTTCTAATATCTGCTCTAAAGTCTTTGTCTACTAATTGCAAGATGGAGACAGTTTCTATTGAGTACAAGTTACATTTTCTTCACATGTCTGTTTATTTTTGATTGCATAATGTATCCTTTTAAGTTCCTCAGAAAAGAGTATGGATTTTCATTTCCTCAGAAAGTTAACTTGGCTAAGCTCAAACACCAAACACTGTCTGTGCTCCAACAGGTTAACAACAAAATACTCTGGTCAGATCTTTCAGCTTGTTGATACATATACTGTTCCACTGCCAAGCCCACTGGGGTCTCTCCTATACATGTACAGGTCTAATGGTCAGGCAAGGATTGATATATAATTTATACACAGGTTTTATAATTCATTACCTCCTGTGGCTCCCTCCATACATAATTTTCTCTTAAAGCCTGTACAGAATCTAGCCCTCTGATGCCCTATACAGAACATGAATTGGAGAGTGCCCTCAGGCAAAAAGCTACATTCTTAATTTTTTCCCCTTCTTGATGCCATCTTTCAAGAGTAGATTCTTTGCCAGTTTCTCTCCCTTTTTTCCCCTTTGGTTACTCTCCAGAGCTGTCAAACAGTTATTTTTAAAAATATTTTTCCAGATTTTGTAATTGTTATCTGCAGAAGGATTAGTCTGATCAAGTGATTCCATTATTACTGAATAATACTTATTTTAAAGCCATAATTTAGCATCTACTAGATGCTAAACATTGTACGAGATGCTACATGTACACGAAAATTTAGGAAACCATCCCTATCCTCAAGGATACCACCTTGTGCTGACTTGACATTATATATGTATCAAATATATTTATACAAAAAATATTGTATACATAAGAATATGCACATCCATAGTCATATTTATGTGCAAATAAATGAAAATACAGTTTTCTTACTTTTCTACTGCAGATCGTTTCTGTGACTTGCTTTTGTAATTCAATGCCATCTTTGTTTCCATTCCAGTATATACAGCAACACCTGTAAACAAAACAAAATAGTTCTTTAAAATAATCCCGTAGCATGTTTCACAAGAGAAATGTGCTCACCAGCATGAAAGCACCTAAGAAAATGCATTTTCTGACAGCTGTTGTAATTTGGCTTTCCTTTTTTTGAATTTAAAAAAGGCTTTCCAATTCCATTTTAGGGTGTTCTTGTTCCTCAAACTGCTGGATAAGGAAGGCATGGAAGTTCTGCTCCTGAGTTGTAACTGAGATATATGAATGAAAGAGATGCTACTTTAGTTGGAAATAATGGGAGAAAAGGATTTGGAAAAATAAAGATGGCAGGGACTACTACTATAGATAGAGCAAACAGTGTTAACAAAGGCAAAAATGGAAAAGCACTTTCTGTTAAGTTGGAACAATTGACTGGGATTAGAGTTTGAAAAACCCTGAATGCCAAGATCTTGAGTCTAGATATAATTTAATAAGCACTGGAGAGGTAACATGGAAATCTATCAGAGTAAATGAACACAAGTAAAGGGCTATTTTAAAAAAGTGTGTCCATGTGAATGCCTCTGAGATGAACAAGGAGGAGAGTAACAGTGGGACTACAGCTGGGGAGTGAATGAAGTTAGGTTAACACCAGTCTTATAAGAAACTTTGCTGGAGTTAGACCTTGGTCTGAGTGCTAGCTCTGCCATGTATTAGTTCTACGTCCTTGGGCAAATTATTTAATCTCTCTAGTCTCAATTTCCCCAACTTTAAATGGGGAAGAAAAATCACCTCAGAATTGTTGTGAGGTCTGTACGACAAATTAGTAAAATGCCTAGAAGCAGATAATCAATAAATGTTTACACTCATTCCTAAGTAGTAAGATTTGAGAAACAGTGTAGGATCATCATGCCCTCTTCCTAAAGATTTTTCCTGGAATTTTCACCATTAGAATTATTCCTTAAAGGCAGAATGATACCTCAAATGCAAAGGGCACAAAATTACAGAAATCAGCCAGGATGATACCATAGAGAGAGGTGGTACTGAGGCAAAGATGAGCAGACCCAACTTAAGGCATTCAAATACACAACTTTTAAGAGCATGAAAAATTGTTACTGCTAGAGAAATGTGTTAAAATACAAGCACTGCACGAGGGGCTTTAAAAGCCTTGGAGGTTTTTGCTGGTTTCTGCAATCAGAACATTTAATATGGTTTTCTCTTTTTAGATGGTGGTAAAATATATGTAACATACAATTTACCATTTTAATCTTTTAAAAATGTACAGTTCAGTGGCACTTAGTACATTCACAATGTTGTGCGTCATTCCCCATTCCCCTCTACTACCCAGCCCATTAATCTACTTTCTGTCTCTTAGGAATCTGCCTATTCTGGGTACTTCAAAATAAATGGGATCATATAACACGTGGCATTTTGTATCAGGCTTGTCATGGCAGGTTGTACGTCAAGTAATTCATTTTTTTTAAGTAAATAATTTTCCATTATATGGATATCCTACATTTTGTTTATACATTCCTTATTTGATGAACATTTGGGCAGTTTCTACCCTTTGACTACTGTAAATAGTGTTGTTATGAGCATTCTTGTACAAGTCTTTGCTTCAACACCTATTTCAATTATTTTGGGTATATATCTAGGAGTAGAACTGCTTGGTCACATGGTAATTCTACATTTAACTTATTGAGAAACTGCCAAACTGTTTTCTACAGCGGCTGTAACATTTACACTCTCACCAACAACGTATGAGGATTCCGATTTCTCTGCATCCTCACCAACACTCATTATTATCCATTTTTTAAAAAAAGTATACGGATTTTTTTTTATCAGAAAGCCTAACAGTGAGAGATAAGATAGATGAAAGAAGAGACAGAGAAGAGAGGATGGACCTCAAAAGCCATAAACATTCAGTAAATAACATAAGCTGTTTAGTATATGAAAGGCCATTCCTGAAATGGGAAGAACTAGTTGACAGCTAAAGATTATCATTGACTTCACAGTTTGCCTAGAATTGACACAGAACACAGTAAATTAATTAACTGTTAATTAATTAATAGATCTACAATGCAAGAGCACTATTCATCCTTTTGATCTGCCTGATACACAGTCATATCAATATGAATTTGTTGAATGAATGAGTCAGCAGTCTTATTTATCCAATCTAAGAATAATCATAATGGAATTAATTATACAGGTGGTTTACTACACCATGACACCAGATTATATTGATTCTCATTCACCATGAATAGAAGTGCCAGAATTATCTTCTTAGCACTCAGTTTCACAAGTATCGACAAAGAATATAAGAGCAAGGTTCTAGTCTATTACTCAAAAAATGGGATTAATAACAAAAAATATAACCAAAATTATATTAACACAATCTTTATAAGAAAATTATCACAAGCAACATTTAACTAAGTATTAAGTTATCCAGTCTAAAGACCACAAATACTGTGCTTTTAAAAATACTTCATATAAAGCATCAACATGAATCAGTAATTAAAAATTTTCAACATATACAAACCAAAAATCTCTTTTGTGTTTTTTAATCTGGCTCCACGAAGCAAGAGACTCTCTGGTCCCAGAGGTCTAGGGGAGGAAAAAAGCATTAACTATATTAAAATTTTAATTAAATTCTAAAATGTCATCTTCCACAGAAAGTACCTGAGTTATAGTACTGCTTTTATATAAAACCAAAATTTCAACTACTATCTAGGTCAATCAAAATATTAGTTACCATAACAAAAACACCTGCTTTAGCACTTCAGTCACTTTAAGATCAGTGGCTCAGAAATAAATTACACTGGTAAACAAACTCACAAAGCCATCAGACTAGTTTCAAAAATTTTAAACATAAAACACACACACACACAAGACTAAGCAATGATTTTAAAATATTTAGCAGAAGATGGAAATTTTGAGCAAAATTAATAAAGTTTTTAAAGAAAACAGATATTAAAATGCAATAAAATAAATTGTAGTGTGATTTGTGTATAAATGCATGAGTTATGCACAATTAAAATTACCCTGGATTATAAAACATCAGGTAGTGAGTTAGTATTTTTCTAGGCACGAATGACACTACAACTTGACTACTTGCATTGCATACTTCTTGGAGCACAGGTCTTCTTGCTGTTTGAATTTCTCTCCATAAAGGAGATATAAAATTAGAAGGAATAACTAGAAAGAAAATTGTACTTTTTTTAGTCATAGCAAAATGATAAGACTCTGTTATGGATAAGTCAAAAAGCCTTAAATTTTGTTGACATTCCTCATGCTTTTCTGAAACATACATACAGAGTCATCCAAATCAAATAGAATCTGAACTAAAACTGAAGATGTCTGCAAACCCAAACACTCTAAAAAAAATCCAATAAACCAAGGTGGACCAGGTACTTGGGACATGGTTAACAAGTATGGTTTTAATAACTAGTCATATTTGGAGTACACTACATGGATATTCCAAAATCAATGAACCAGGAGTCACAAAATAGCTCTTTTTTATTTGGTATTGATTCTAACAATGAATAGAAATACTCTGAGCTCACAATGGCATAAACAAATGGGATAATGACAGAAAGCTTCAAATTAAAAGGTTTCATCAGCACACTCTGGTTGCTTCAGCAAAGAACATGGCTCTTTTTTTTTAACCATTCTAGGGGCTGAGATAACATAATTGATATTTCCCTTTACCAGCCAAAATATCTAATGCAATTCAGATTATGTATCCATACATCTATCTTATTAAGTCACAATAGAAACCAAAATAAAAGCCTAGTCATAGTTATTCAAGCAGGGACCCTACACTTCAAAAGACTTTGCAACACAATTCACTGAACATGCTCCTGTGTTAATGTCTATAAAAAATGTGAATCAGTGCTGATGCATGGTGGCATGTCTTGAGAAATTCATTTATTTTTAGAAATTCATTAAAAAAAATACTCAGCTTTTCATGTCAGTGACTTGTTTCATGAAGCCAATTAAATTAAACATGTCTTTAATAAAAAGGTGACATGCTAATTTGATTTAGAAGTTTAAGGGATGATTCCAAGATTTAGTTTAAATTTGGCTTTGTGGTCATGAATAACAATGTAATCTCACCCTGTTCGCAATTCTTTGAAATGACCCCAACGTCTTTCATGTAGTAGCCAGAAATTAACCTGAATATTGAGGGAAAACAAACCCCAAAAAACTACCAAATGAAATAACCAACCAAATGAAATAACCAATTAGAAGAGTAACAAAGAGGTTCTGAATTGGCCACTAAATACTCCAGTTTGTTCTAAATGATGTTGAAGTGAGGAAGACTGAAACATTTATGCTTGTTAAACAGCATATATTTTTTGTATTCTAGATTTTAAGTGTGGTGGGTAAGAATTTGATTAAGAATGTCTGCTTCCTTTTATGTTACTACCTGATATTATTCAAAAGAGAAATATAAATATACAAATAATTGTACTAAATTATTTTGATATAATTTCATGGAATTTGCTTCATCTTCACTTGCTGATGCTACAAATTACTGGAAGATAAAAGTGCTAAGCGCTTTAAAATGAACCTTTTCCATTATATGCAGCTTGCTTACCTAATATCCCTTTAACTTGATTTTGGTCCCTCCCTCAAACAATATGAATTTATTCTTACCTTACAATTTCTTCCATTTGTTGAGTTATTATCATTCGTCCCATGAATCTACCAAAGAATTCACATTACAAAAAAAAAAAAAAAAAAAAAAAAAAGGATAAATTACTTGACATCAACAGGTGGAAAACTTTAGATACTTTGGCACTATTCTTATACATGAAACCAAACCAACGTTTTATATATATATATACAGTCCAATAATCATGTTAGTACTGATAAAATAGTCACTAAGCTTTAAAAATTGTAATATTCTTGCCACCCCACTTCAGCTATTAATGAGGTAATAAACGAAAAAAATGTTTTCAAAATGGTGATTTAAATAATTGTTGCTGCCCTGGCCAGCATGGCTCAGTTGGCTAGGGGTCATCCCACAAAGTGAAAGGTCACTGGTTTGATTCCTAGTCAGGGCACGTGCTTGGGCTGCAGGCTGGTCCCCAATGGGGCATATGCAGGAGGCAACCAATTGATGTTTTTCCTCGTACACACACATTTCTCTCCCTCCCTCCCTCCCTATCCCTATCTCTAAAAATAAATAAAATTTTTAAGTTATATTACTATTAGTTTCATCATCATGAGAATTTATAATTGCTACACAAAGATGTACACATTATGTAGCCAATGAGGAATGCTCACGTATTTCATCAGTTTATTAAATAAGCTTCCCTTCTGTGATTAGAATCATTCATTTACTTATTCATGCATTCATTCATCCAACAAATACTCACTGAACAACTACTATGTGTGAGTGAAGTGGTGGGAACAGAGTAGTAAGCAAAAAGCAATCAGTGAACTCCACAGCTTCTAGAGTTATCAATGAATTTTCATAACCTGGCCTTTTGGTTCCAATTTCCACTACCAAAATAGCTCCATAGCACGGTCAATTCAAATGAACAATTACTTTCTACTACAGTGAGAAGTAAATTTTGAGTTGAAGCAAATTCTAGCAGAGCTTCATGTTACTTAACTAGGCAACGCAGTATTAAGCACTCCCTACCAAATGTCCCCTATCATTCCTCCTACTTCCAGGTCACAGATGCTTTATCGCCTTGGCTTCATTCTTTCTGACGAATCTCTTACTTCTGCTTCCTTCAACTGCCTGTCTCACGGAAAAGCATTGTTTTTTTGTTTTTAAATCTCCCTTTAATGGATTTTATGTAGCCTTGTTTCCAACCACAACTTTGGATTCAGATTTAAAGAACCAGTTCAGCTGGAGTCTCTCTGGGTATCCTTCAGAGATGATGTGGACCTCTCTCTTGATTTTTCTGACCTCAATTTCAACAAGAGAATTCCTGTTTTCCTTCATTTTATCTATCCTGTTACCCTTGATTCTAAGGTACTCCTTGTTGGTTCATGCCAGTTCCATTCTGGATTAACTCATCTTGCCCTTTCCTTTGCCCTTTATCCAAAGTCGCACTTTTGTTTCCAAGCAAAAATAGTTTTATTATTCTCTTTTTGATTATAAAGACTATATACACTCAAACACACATTTTACAAAATGATTCAAACAAATATAAAAAAAAGTAACAATAGGGAAATAACTACTATCACAGGTAATCCCACTGCTCAAATACATACACTGCTATTATTTTGGGGTAGGTTTTCCAGGCTTTTTCCATGCACATATAGATAAATATGTATCTTTAAAAAAAAGGGGGGATCATACTATAAATAGTGTTGGTAGCATCCCGCCCCACATACTTAGCATGTCCTGTCAAAAACACTGATCTACATCACTATTTTTTAAAAGATTTTATTTATTTATTTTTAGAGAGAAGGGAAGAGAGAAAGAGAAGGAGAGAAACATCAATGTGTAAAATAAACACTGATTGGTTGCCTCTCCCATGTCCCCAACTGGGGACCTGGCTGGCATCCCAGGCCTGTGCCCCAACCTGTGGCCCTTTGGTTTGCAGATGACACCCAACCCACTGAGCCACACCAGCCAGGGTTACATCATTATTTTTAGTGGTTGCACATAATATTGCATTTTGGGGTTCGTGTATAATATATTTAAACAATTCAATACTGATGGAATCTTAGGTTTTTTCCAAGTTACAGTCTAAACCACCGATTTTCAACTTCATTGCATGACAAACTACTAAAATTCTGCAGCACAGCAAAAAATTTACTTTTTGTTGACTTGACAAAAAATAGGTATAATTTTGATTCATTCACACTGACAGCTATTGCTGTATTGACTGTTGTCATTTTTTATTTGATAATCTAAGGGAAAAGAAGTCAGTGCCCCTAAGTAGTCAGGTATTGCATGTTTTAAAAATTCTTGCAGCATACTGGATGAAAATCTCTGGTCTAAACAACGCAGCCCTGAAAAACCTGTGTCCATATCTTTTCACATTTTCATTAAGTCCCTAGGAATAGTAGAATTTCATTATTTTGTTAGGAAGATTCCTAGAAGTGGAAGTGCTAAGTCAGAGCCTAAACAGTTAAGAGGTGGAAAGAATAAAAAACTGAAGGAGTAAAGGAGAAAAGGAAAAGAAATGGAGGATACTGTGAACTCCCTGAGAGAGGCTGCTCCTAAACAAAGAGCTCTCCTGGTTTTCATTTCTTCCTGTTGTTAGGCAAAGTTCATTTCTTACCATGTTCTATCCTCTATCAATAAACTATTAAAGTTTTTTTTTAAAAAGTAATATAACCCCAATTAATAAACCGGTAATCAGGGAGGAATCAACAATGCTCAAGTGGGAAGAATTAATAAAAATGTTTATGCTTTCTAATAAAAAGTGAACTATAACTAGAGTTTTAAAACTATGAAACTGTTATCTACAAAATTACTACAAAAATTTAAAAACTATAATACTTAATACTAGTAAATTCTGAAACAATAAAATACTCCATAAACTTATACTCCGCTCATGGCAACAAAAATTAGTCCAACACTTTTGTAAAATGTCAGTATGTTTATGACAGGCCAAACTTTATTAGTACTCTAATCCAGTAATTCCTTTTCTGCAATTCTGTCTGTTCTTAGGGAATAATCTAGTTAGATTACAAACTGTAGGAGGCAAGAACTATCATTGTTTCTTTACCATCGTATTCTCAGTTTTAGTATATGTGCTGCCAAAGTGAACACGGTATTTTCAGTGTCTAGTACTATGCCTCAGTTATTGGAGGCACTCAATATCTCTCAATATCTGATGAAGGAATGAATGGTCACTAAAAATGTTTACACATCTTCTGACTTAGTAATATTTTGGAATGCTATCATTCATCCATTCATTCAATATATAATTCATTGAGTGTCTACAATGTACCTAGTATTGTTCATGCACATCGATTCAATAGTAAAGTGAACTATACACACAAATTTGCTTGCACATATCACAAACAATTCAATAAAAGGAAAAATTTAACTGCATAAATGTAAGTACATAAAGATATTTGTTTTTTCAATTGTCAACAAGTATGTAGTAAGGCCTCTTATATGTCAGATCTGTTTTAGGTACTTGGGGTATCAGTGAACACAACACAGACAGAATGCCTGCCCTTCAGTTTACAATTGTTGTTGGAGAGAGATAATAAACAATAAACAAAACAGATACATAATATACTAGGAGGTATTATGTGTTATAAAAAAAGAAAGGCAGACAGGGTAAGAAGAATTAGGCTGCAATATTAAATAGTCAAAGTAGGTCTCACTGAGGTGATTTAAGCAGAGGCTAGAGGGTGGTAAAAGAGTTAAGACAAGGAACAGCTAGTGAAAAGATGGGAGTGAATATGGCATGTTCAAGGGGAAATAAGGAGGCCAGTGTAACTGGTGGGTGAACAAGAGGGAGAATGGCCAGAAATCAGGTCAGAGAGGAAAGGCTGGGGAGAGGGGCAATCGGTAAGGTCTTACAGATTATAAGGACACGGGTTTTGACTCAGAGTAAGATGGAAAAGCCATTGCAAGGTTTTAGCAGAGGAGTGATATGATCTGACTTACATTTAAAAAGGATCACTCTGGTTGTTTTTGCGAGAACAGACTGCAAGGGAAAGAAGGATTAAAACAGAAAAACTGGTAATAATGCCTTTGATAGCAGCAAGCAAGGGAGGAGATGATGCTTGCTCAGACCAGATTAGTAGCAGCGAAATTACTGAAAGATGGTCAAATTTGGTGTGTATTCTGCAGGTAAACCAATAATGCCCTGATGGATTGGGATAAGATATGGGAGAAGAGGTTAGGAGACTTTAGCAGAGAGGGGATGTGGGGAGTCATAGCTGACTGCAGGGATTTTGGCCTGAAAAACTGGAAGGAGGGACTGACTGTCTTCAACTGAAATAGGAAAGACTGGATAAAAAGATTTGTAGGGAAGATCAGAAGCTCAGTTCTCAACATAATTAATTTAGAGTTCTACTAAATGTGTAAGTAGAATTGTAGAACATGAGGTTGGATACGAGAGTCTGGAATTTGGGAAAGATGTCTGGAATGAAGATATGAATCTGAGAGTTAGCATGTAGGTGATCTTTAAAGTCATCACGCTGGATGAAATCATCAAAGCAGTGAGTGCAGATAGTAAAATGTACAGGCAGGGAAGGGAACAGGACCAAGGACAATCCTGTCCTCGGGCACTCTAACCTTACGAAGTCAGGGAGAAGAGGAGAAATCAGCAACTGAGACTGAAAGGAGAAAAGACAAGAGAGGGGAGTGTCCTGGGAGCCAAGAGAATTAATCGTATCAAAGAAGGGTAGCAATCAACTATCCAACTGCTGGATTTTGAATTGATGAAATTATTTGCATTAAGGCACCACAAAATATTTACAATAGCAAGAAAAATGAAGAGTTAGATATTGAAAGATTAAGTAACAGTTAGGTTCTAGTACATTTACTTAGACTATTCTGCAGCCATTAGAAAGTATTATTAAGGCCCTGGCTGGTGTGGATCATTGGGTTGAGCGCCAGCCTGCAAATTGAAAGGTTGGTGATTTGATTCCCAGTCAGGGCACCTGCCTGGGTTAATGGCCAGGTCCTTGCTTGGGGGTGTATGAGAGGCAACTGATTAATGTTTCTCTCCCTCTTTTTCTCCCTCCCTTTCCCCTCTCTAAAAATAAATAAGTAAAATCTTAAAAAAATAAAAAAAAAAACCCATTAAGAATACTATGCAGAAAATGGAAAATACATTTTTTAAATTAGAAAAGCAATCCATATTCTTTCAAGAAATATTAGAAAATATGGAGAAAAAAAATGTAAATAGAAAACAGCTGAATGTAATTCCTGCAAGTTTTTCTTTCTCTCTGTACCTATTTTTCTATCCTACGTAATTACTATCAAATAGATAAAAAATACATATTTTCAAAAATATAATTGGGATCATATTAAAGCTACAACTCTGTATCTAACATTACATTTCGTGTGTTTCTATGTCATTAAGTTCTTTGAAACTGTTTTTATAATTTATATATTTCCCTGTTTTATCAGTATCATATGCCCACTTAAGCACTCTCCCATGTGGATACTTAAAATCTTTCAACATTCCCCTTATATGTAACATATAGAAAAGCGAAAAAATATAATTTTTATATATAATATCTTTACAGCTACGAATTCCTCAAGGATAGAAATCATGCTAACTCATCTTATTTCTAAACTACCATAATGAGTATACCAGTGCTCAACAATAACTTGCATGAATAAATAGCAATAAATTTAATTATTAGTTACCTTTCCATTATGTAAGTGTTCTGTAGTAGTTACATAGTTGCATTTATATTTAAAACAAAATATATACTTTCCATAAGAGGAAAAGAGAAAATAAAGAGGAACACCTTATATTTAATAGTGAATTATTTACTATCAAAAATGTTTTAACTTTTTCCAAGATAATATAAAAACCATCCATCTACATATTAGTCATATTTGGGCTCATATTAATCTTATGCTTGCTTAATGCTCCATTCTCTAGTTTCCAGAATTTTTTTATAACTCCCCACTGTTTGAGACAAGGGAATAACAGCAATATAGAAATCTTAAAGTACTAAATTCTTTACAGTTAAATCTTATAGTTTTAATGCTTTCAAAATGTAGGACCCCAAATTTTTATGGTCAATTAGAAAACTCTATACCTCATTTGACTTTGATGAAACTGGAAATTTTTATAACATCACATAGAGAAAAACTGCATTTATAAATAATATATAGATCCGGAACAAATTATGTTAAGAGATTATAGAAAAGCCAATGACTAATGATAAGATCTGAACATTTCAACCAATAGAGGGAGACATATCATTTGCTAAGAAGCTGAAAGTGAATTCTACAATGTGGTTGTAATTTATATTCTATCACCAGTTACTGAATAAAAATGAGTTTAGTATTTCACTTTAATAATAAAATTTATTTCTATTTCATAGCCCACGATAATTGGCATGTAACTGAAAAATGACATACATTGTATTTAGTAAATTATAATGTTAAAAGGAGTTCTGAATGAACACAAAGATATATCCCTTTCCTTCATGGAACACACACACATGATCACTTTCTTTTAAAGAAATAATTTTACTTCTCCTATAACTGCTTTTATAAAGTTAACTATTACAGCTGTAAAGCAAGTTCATACAGAAGTAGAAGGTAATGAAAAAGAGTATTTGAATAAAAGCACTGCTTTTGAATTAACACTTTGGATTAGAATTCTGGCAAATTCTGCTTTTAGCCTTTCCCCCTCTTAATTGATCTCTCTACTTCTTCCCTTCAATGTCATCTTCAATTAGCTAAAGATTTAATTGTATGTTTGTAATTGTAAAAATGAGATCTGTAAACAGGACTTAAAAAATGAGTATGTTGAATATCACACATACCTGTACAAGTCTGCTTCTGGTTGCTGACATTCTATCACAGCTATAAGAGTGTCCAAACTGGCAACCGTTTGTAATACTGCTGTTTCTGGAACTGCCACATGTGTCTAAAAAAAGGATTAAACTGCAGTTTCAAGACTCAAATGGGACCCTACAAATCATCTTTTTTTTAAAATAATTTTTTTCTATTGTAGTTGATATACAATATTATACTGATTTCATGTGTACAACTGCAAGATTAGACATTTATATTACTTATTAAGTGATCACCCTGATAAATCTAGTACCAATCTCACACTCAATATAGTTGTTACCATATCATTGACTATATTCCCTATGCTGTACTTTACACCTCCATCTGTTTCAAATCTCCCTCATCTAAAAAAAAAAAAGCATCGAAATATTAATATTATTTTATTTTTCCTAAAAACACTTTCCATCTTTCTTTAACTTGACTAAACCATGTGAGGCTAACCTTGAAATAGATGTATAACATTATTTTGTTTTAAAAAAAAGTAGTAATTATTAAAAATTTCAGTAATTTAAAAGAATTTTTCCTTTATCAGGTCAAAGGCATAATACAAAGACATTTTGTTCACCAAGAAGAACACTGATACGTATACATGTACAAACCTTCAGGTTGGTTTCTCCATCCAAACTAGCAGTTGTAATGTGACAAGAACCATCAAGTCGATCTGAGGACAGAAGCACCAAATCTGCAGGGAAAATTTCATCTTTGGCTATTCGAACAATATCACCCACCTATGAAGAATTTTGGGGAAAGTGAATATACTGATTTTAAAAGGCAAGGACTTATTTTATTGGGTTCTAACCAATTGGTCTATCCCAATATTTTAATGCAGGAAAGGTTTTTAATTAAAATACAGTCAGATTAGATTTTGTGACACCAAAATATAACTGATACCCATTATTTACTAAGTGCATACCCGAATGTTCTTTGATCTGGTTTTTACAAGGCCACCACTTCGAACAACATAAACAGGAGCTCCATTTACTTCATTATCTGAGTTATGTCGTAACCAATCTTCATATCCCTATCAATATAAAAAATAAATAAGTACCCTTTTTAGCAGACTTAGAAGATACTTTTATTAAACAACAAAAAGAAACAGAAACTGCCCCAAAACATTTCATTCACCAGAATATTGAGCTATTCTGAAGCATATACTCACAGGAATTTGACATTCAATCACACTAAAAATACTCTCTCTTGGTTTTCATTACACACATGTTCCTGGTTTTCATAGTACCTCACAGTTGCTCCTTTTCAATCGCCTTATGGGAGCCTTTCTATGCCATCATTGTTAGCCCTTTTTTCACCTGTTACTTTCTCACTACAAACTTCTTCTATATCTGTGTCTTCAAAAATTTCTGAAATTTGAATTGCCAGTTTGTATCTTTCTTTTGGACTCTAAACTTGAATATCCAAATGCATTCTTAACATCTCCATTCTGATGTCTCATAAAAGTACATTAAACATTTCAAAATTAAACTGATGATGTTATCCTCCAAATCTGTTGAATTTTCAATGTCTCCCATTTGACAAATGATATCACCATCTACAGAGTTACTCATACTAGAAATCTGGGGAGTTATTTCTGACTCCTACCTTTTCCTGACACCTATTCAATCAGTAAGTTCTATTGCTTCTATAGATACAAATGATATTTTAAACATAAAATATAAATTCACACAGCATTATTAAAGACAACAAATAGGAAAAAAATGAACAGATTTTAAAACTGAGGTTGAATTATTTCACTTTCTTAAATACTAGATCAATAGAATTATTTTTACTTCCAAAAACTATGGTAGGTTGAGTGGATCATCATTAAAAAGGGAAACAGACATAAGCATTTCGCAAAGAATACTGTGATTAAATGTTAAGAAGTAGTATTTTGTAAATGGAAAATTTTGTGTTATTTTTTAGAGAAAATTCAAGAACTCAGAGGTACAGTATGGGGTAAACAAAGTATCTGATAGCATTAAATGATACAGGGTACAAAATGTGTTGCGTTCTATGCTATCATTTGTGGAAAAAATATGCCTGTCTCTGAAAACATTCTGTATAAACGTCTGGACTAATGTACAAATAATGGCTCCCTCAGGGAGAAGGACCTGGACGGTAGAGGTTAGAAGTATAAATGACTTTCACTGTATGCTATTTTGTACTGTTTCTGTTTTTTAAAATTTGTGCATCTACTACCTAAAAATATTATAATATTATAAAATATAAAGCAAATATTAAAAATTGCCTGAAGGCCTCTTTTTTCAGGGAGAAAACTCTGGCAAAGCATTCTTAAAATATTTAAATTATGCGTCCATGGCCTGGTAGTTCAGTTGATTAAAACGTCATTCCAAAACAGCAAGGGTGGGCAGCTGATCCCTGGTCAGGGCACATATAAGAATCAACCAATGAATGCATGAATAAGTGGAAAACAAATCAATGTTTCTCTCTCTCTCTCTAGACCCCCCCTCCCGCTCTCTAAAAATCAATAAATCTATAAAAAATAAATTATGTTGGCCCCATTGAAGATGTAGTATGTCAATTTAGAAAAATTTGAGGGTCAGAACATTTTTTTCTGCAACCGTCAAAAAGCACACTTCCTTTTATAGTCAGATGTCACTAACAGCAGAGCAATAATAAACACATTATTTTTTTTAACATATGTTCACAAATTCTAATTCATCCTACGCATACTGCCAGATTAATTTTTCCAAACCACTGCTTTAATTTACTAACCCATTCAAAGCCTCCTCAATAATTCTCAATGCTTCAAGATCTTCCAGCCTGCTTAATTAACCAGCATTACCTTTTAGTGCTTTTTGTATACAGTGTCACACATTAGTCAGGCACATCATTTCCCCAAAATAGGTCTTGCCTTTGGGCCTTTGCTTAAGTTGTTTGTTGCTACATCACCTTTTCCACCAACTGTCATTTTACCCATATTCCAAGTCTCATCTCTAATAATGTTTCTTTCACAAAACCCTCCTTAATATCCAGTGTTTCACCCTTTTTTGAATACCTATAGCTCACTGGCTCTTCCTACTACCTTATTAAACTACAATTATTTTTGCATTTGCTCTTATCTTCTTATCAAAGGTTTTAGGCTCATAAAGGGCACTATATTTTGGATGACACAATTAGAGGAAAAACCTAATATGCAAATACGGTCAGGAGAAGTTAAAAATACAACTTTACTTAGAGTATAAATAACTGATAAGATAGCACTTCTTATTTTGATAAAAATGCAAAGGACAAAGGCAGACTAAAAGGAGAGAAGCAGGAAAGACTGGAATGTGGCAACTTTCATTTTTACAATTTTTCCAAAATTTATTCACTGATCTATAGTAATGGACATAGAAACCTGAACAGTATATTCTAATATGTTGTGTGTTATTAAATGAGCACAACTGAAGAATGGTTGTTGGAGAAAAGAAAACCCTGAATCCTGACATGGTAAAGGGAGAAAATCCTTACATATCAAATTTTCTGTTTGAAAATTAGATGACCTTTCATTCTGGTTAGGTAGCACAGCTGGTTAGTGTGTCATCCTGATAGATTAAGGTTGCAGGTTTGATCCCTGGTCAGGGCACATGGGCACATGTAAGAATCAACCAATGAGTGCATAAATAAGTGGAACAGAATGATACTTTTCTCACCCTCACTCTCTGTCAAATAAGTTTTTAAAAAATTATATGACCTTTCATATTTCCTCTTTTGCTTTTTAGTTGTCAAGAAGCTCTCATGAAAATTTAGTACTTAACTTCAGTAGTCACACTAATACAGGTTTGAGATATAATCTTCCTGTATCTTACTCTTAGATATTACATGTTTTTATTTAACCCATGTTGGAAGGAAACAGGATATCTTCTTTTTTATTATTATTATTAACATTATTAAACTCTCCTATTTTGCAGATATTAAATTCACCAGCATTTTTTCAACTGTTAATGGCATCACATTCCAAATAAACCCAGCCTATACTTGGCTAAATATATATTGGGAAAACAGGGAAAGAAGTATTTTAACATTTTTACATTGCTTAAAAAAAGTATTCAATAGATTCATTAATTCATACAGAGCTAAACATTCAAACAAAGGCAATAAACTGACATGGTGGTTAGGATACACCTAAGCTATCCAAGTGGAAACGTTGCACAGTTGTATGTTTGTGTCAGAGTTCAGGGAACAGTTTCAGGATACATATAAATTTGAGAACCATCAACATGTAAATGGTACTTTTAAGCCACTACACTGGATGAAATCACCGAAGAGGAAACTATAGGTACAAGGGACAAATATGTGTTACTGTGATGAAATAAATGACATCTGCAAAACCAAGTAAGTATGAAGTAATTTGGGTAATTATTGATTTATATAGTAGCATGATATTGTGACACACTATATACATAATGTAATTATTAAAATATACTACACCACAGAATTATAAAACGTTTGTTAATTTTATTTCCATTGTAATTTAAATCTCGTTCCTAAACCATATAAAATGAAAATTTATCATATTTACATAAGAAAATTCAATTAACTCTTTCAGGTGGAAGGAACCATCTCTCTGTAACTGATTTTTTTGAGAAGTAGTAGCTATAAAGATATAACATTTCTACAAATTTCTTTATTTCTTACTTGGTATGTTCATCCAATAACAGTGTTTTTCTAGATTTTAGTACCAGTTCAAGACTTGGTTGAAGCTATTTCCCCTAGGGTACAACTTTACATAAAAATCAACTTCAGAGAAAGTGGTAAAAAGTAGAGAAAGCATTATACGATTTATATTCAGATTTTCAAACTAGAAGTACATGCTCCATTCCCCATAAACATATCCCTTCTGAACTGTATTTCTTTTAACTATTGCCAAATTCTACAAGATGATTATATTAATGTTTCATCTACCATTTTATTTGTATATATAAAATGCCTGTTTTTGGATGCTTCTTAGCTGTCTCAAGATAACAACATATTTTAAGAATGGTAATAATAGCAAGGGTCACCTGAAATATAATAGTGTGGCTTAACTTAGTTTAATTTTACCATATGCAAAATCAAAAAAAGTTTGCTGCTTTCTTGTGGAAATTATTTTCACACCAATAAATGTTACTTCGGAGTGGACATACTTAGCAACTTATGAATGGCCTGGGGGAAACAAGAATAGAAAGCACTTCATACCTGTTTTATGGCAGTTACTGTTATTACAAAGAATAATGGAAGTCCACTGGTAATTGGACTGGTAGGTGTATCAATCATAAGCTAGATTTAAAAAAAGAATGCAGAGTATTATATTTTTATATTGTACACATCACACTATTAACATCTTAGATCTCAGATATACTTGGAATTCTGAGAATACTATACAAAATGTGTATCATAATCCAGAGTAAAAAATAATAGGAAGGACATATTATGCAGTGAGTATAGTATAGTTTAGTTCAGTTTTCAAGTTCACTTTGTTGGCCATTACATGAGGTTAGTAGAATACCCAAATCTACTGCAATATTGTTAGAATGGACTCAGTTACAACCCTGCCTTCTTAACAGAGAGTACCTCAGGTCTTCCACAACATTTGCCTACAAGTGGAGCTACAACTGCTTAGACTCTTCCTTCACATTTCCTTGTGCATCTTGATAAATACTGTAAAGTCTGAGTAATTTTTACTCTGGGATTCAGAATAAACTCACCACTTAGGGAGACAGAACAAAGAATGGGACTAAGAAAAAGGTTTTTCTTCTGTAAGAGTTTTTGTTAAACCCAAGAGAGCCAGAAGGGGAGCAGCTTAGAAAATAATGCTGAAATTATTATCTAAATCACACAACTGAGGTTTCAATAAACTGTTGGAGAAATAAAGAAATTTTTGCAGTTAATTATGTTTGGCTAATTAGAACATGGATCGATAATTTATTAATGTTCCTGTATGCCACAGAGGCCAATTACATTTGTTCCATTCCATAGACAAGCTGAATTTCTGACCTTAGCTGGTAATTTCAAAAATGCATGTTAGGTGGACATGGTTAGTATAAATTTTTCACTTTTCCGAGAAAAGCAAGCTGATGTTCTATTGATTAAAAACAAACAAACAAACCCAGAAGCTTCTTCTCTGTTGATGAAGAAAATTTTATTTTAAAAAGTAAATGTTTCCTCAAGCTTTAAAGTAATACCTTGCCAAGCGTTTTTCTTTTTCTTTTTTTTGAAATCCCAGATTCTATTCAGAGAAAAGGTCAGAGTTCATACAAAAATTCAATGCCACATTGAAAGAGACCGCTAAAGTATTATCAGAAAAAATAATCTTTTAAAAGAAAATGACAAAAACTATTTTTAAATCTTGACTCATACTCTGTGTTTCATAAGCTGTTCTCTTGATATTTTGATACTAGAAAAAAAGCAAATGTGAAAAAGAAACTATTAAACAGCCTATAGTGAATATAGATATCCAGGTTAAGAAAATGGTCTCCTGGATAAAAATCTACTCTCATGGGGATTCTTAAAAATTTGTTTCTTAATTTTTTAAAAATAAAAGTAAAACTGACATTAAAAAAAATTTACTTTGTACCAAAATGGTTCCATAGGCAGAAATGTGCCAAAAACGTATGTAGCATATTAAATAAAGGCCAAACTATTTATATTCTGGAAGAACATCTGAAAGATGATGTTATTTTTTTGGTTTTGCTTATGGTTATCAGCATCACAGCACATCAATAATAAAGTAAAATAGAATTAATCTTAAAATTCATTGGCTAGTTTTTAGAAATCTAGATGTGATTAAATCACTACATTCACTGATACAATGGGGAAGTTCTACACGAAAAAAACAAACAACAAAACAAAAACCAACAGTTCCAAAATCAAATGATTTAGAATAAGTAACTTTCCCCTGAAGACATACTTTAAAAATCTTACCTATAAATTTAACAATGTACTTGAGTGATAAAGCTTACCTGAACCAAAAATATAATAAGAAAATAAAAGTTTGCCACTCTTCTGAACTGTTCAAATAAGTTCTTTGGAACAAAATTCCACACAGTATACTGAAAAAAAAAAAAAAAAAGAGAGAGAGAGAGAGAGAGGAGACAAATAAATTAATATTTAAAAAGAATATACACTATATGGATATAATAATAAAAAATAAAATCAGTAAGCTCTTAGACAACTTCATATAACTTTCTTTAATGATTAAAATTTGTTGGATTTCTTTCTTTCTAAAGTTTGTAAAAACTGCAGAATGCTTCACAAATATACGTGCCATCCTTGCTCGGGGGCCAAGCTAATCTTGTCTATATAGTTGCAATTTTAGTATATGTGCTGCCACAGCGAATACTCATGAAACTCTTGATGCTACAGAAACTCTCTGGTTTTTACAGTTTAATGACATTTAGTCTACTCTTTTTCCCTTTACTATTTATTGGCAGTTTCAGTGTGATTTTAAAAAATGAGATAAACTAGACCCAGCAATTTTGCTACTAAATTCTTGATTTTTTTTGAAGTTGGGGACAGCAGATCTAAACCATTTTTGTTTAAAAAAAAAACTTTTATGGTAATATTGGTTAATCAGATTATATAGGTTCCAAGTGTACATTTCTATAATACATGATTGCATTGTGTGCCCAAAGTCAAATCACATTTTATACTTTAATAATTTATTCTGGACTTTGGTTACTACACAAAACTAAACCTAATGCTAAAGATAAATAAGAATTGATAGAAATGTTTACACTAGATACAATCTGTTTACATTTATTCAATTATTTGTTGTTAAGTATGGAATATGGAAAAATAACTCAGAATGTGAAAAAGATTTAAAAAAATACTTTGGATAAATTATAATCACTGGAATACCCACCAAGAAAAATCTCCTAAAGAACATGAAAATCTATCACAATGTCAATTTTTAAAGTAAAACAGTAAAGTATAATGGTTAAGAATATAAATGGTAGTGGGTTAAACCAAGGTGGCCTACATTCTAATTCAAGGTCACGAAATGACCCTGGACTTAATCTCTCTGTGCCCCACTTTTTACCTCTATAAAAGGGGGGCAGTAATAATCATGTTGTATTTTATAATCATATTGTTGTAAAGATTAAGTGAACTAATAAGTTTATTAAGCATTTAAGACAGAACTTGGCTCATATTAATTGCTATGTGTCTGGTATATTATTAACTCATGGGGGAGAGTACCAATTCAGTACAAATGTCATTTGTGTCACTCCCTACTCACAACACAACTTCATATATAAACAGGGGAACACTTTATAGCACTGTTACTTTACCCTGCATACATTCTCCCAGGAGAATGTAAGATCTGAGGATAGAACACTGTTTTATTTATGGATCTGTCCAGCACTTACACTACTACTTGGCACATAGTTGGAGATCAATACTTGAGTAGAAGAATGAATGAATGAATGAATGAATATGGTGGAAATGGTTTTTCTTTTTCAGGTCACTATCCTAATGCTAGGCAATGAAGCCTTAATGATTACTGACAATTCAAGATATTTAAAGAGACATTTTACCTAATTTTCTCTGGTGTTATATAAGATGGTTCTAATTTCTAAAATTCTGTATGTGAGATAGTCACTTCTTTTTTTTTAAGATTTTATCTATTTATTTTTAGAGGGGAAGGGAGGGAGAAAGAGAGGGAGAGAAACACCAATGTGCAACTGCTTCTGGCACCCCCGCTACTGGGTACCTGGCCTGCACCCCAGGCATGTGCCCTGACTGGGAATTAAACCAGCGACCCTTTGCTTTGCAGGCTGGCGCTCAATCCACTGAGTCACAACAACCAGGGCTGAAATATTCACTTCTTAATCAGTTAGTCTGAGACCTGAAACTTTCTTTACCATATGAACAATTTTATAAATACGGCTGTGTTCCCAAAAGAGCCCACAGAAGCCTATTTGACTCAAGGGTATATAAAGAGTTGTACAATACCTAACACCTTTCTTTTTTAGGTGAAATTATATTTTTCAGTACTAATCTGAGATACTTGAAACATATTTTCCTATGGTAGAATCAGTGGCTTCAGATTCTGGGATTGGGAATTAAGTTTAGGGCTCTAGAGAGAGAAGTCAGGTAGATCCTTCCTGGAACCAAAAGAAGTTACTGTTCAATATCTATATATGAAATGGTAACTCTGGCTCAAGTCATCTTCAGCTGATCTTAACTGGATTAAAAATATAGTTGTCTCTACAGGGGTAAGAGTATTCCATGTAACTTCCCAATCATCAAATCAAATGTATAAACTTTATAAGAATTAGGCTGGCAATGTCTTTAAGTTTATGTCAGTAAGGTAATTGGGTTCACGACATTTTCTTTGGCTAGCTCAATTATGAAATAGAAAAACTCGGAATAAATAAAAATTGCTTATGAAAACTAACTTATAAATGTTAGGAATAGTTGTCTGCAAGTTTTCTAAAAGACAAACATATTAATAGGTTGAATGAGTCTAAATTCTGTACTTGTCCTGTCATAGATAGAAGGAGGAAGCTAGTAAAATAATAGTAAATGATATGAAAATATCCTAAGAAAATTATTATGGTTTAAAACATTATAATATGTAATAATTGTCAAGAAAAGTGAACTAGAAGTGTAGCTTCTCTGCAGTTATGTATATGACTGTATAATTGACCTTTTTTCCTCGTGTGGTCTGACATTAGTAAGAAAACCAAAACACAGATATAAAATTAAATCTTTTGCAAAGAAATTTAAATTTAAAATAAGGTAGTTACCATGATAAATTAAACTGGACCAACACATATCATGCATCTACAATGTGCAAGACACACTTTATAAGAGGAACAGTGATAAATTCACTATTAGAGATTAAAAACAAATAGCAATGGCTGCATTCAAAGATAAAGTAAATGAAGCAATAGTTGCATACAAAGAATTAGAAGGAAAAGCAGTCAGTGAGAAAAGAAAATTTAATAAAGGAGGTCATACCTGACATGGGCTTTAAGAGAGGAACATTCACAGGCTGAAAATAGAGGGCTATAGGTAAAACATTTCAGGAGGGAAGGACAGTGTGAACGAAGGCAAAGAGGAGGAAAGTTCACTATGGCTTTGAGGGATAAAAGACAATGCAGTTTAGAGGAGATTAAGGGAATAACAGTGATATAAAAAGGTAGTATAAAGGGAATAATAAAAGCCAGCCTCATTTATGGTCAGAAAAACAATTTACACTGTCTATAAATATCTGCATTCTTGAAACTGTGGTCAAAAACATGAATTCTACATTTCTACAAAAACATAAAGTATGTTTTTAAAAACTGTGGTTATCAAAACAAAATCATAGCAAAGGCACAGTGGCAGGGAAGTTCAACATAAATTTATGGAGTAGCAGGTATCCTGGCTTGGAAGTAGTTTAAGAAAGCCGTAATGGAGTGAGAAGAAGTAATAAGGGAGTAATGAGACAGTTCTCAAGGAAATGTTTATTTCAATATCTATATTTTTGAAACTGTAGTCAAAGTATTAAACCTGATACCACTGCATACAAAAACAGTCATATAAAGATATTTAATCCCCAAAGTTTTCCAGGAGATGCAACTTTCAGTATTGTTAGAGGAGTTTGGTGGTCCTGTGAACTCCTAGCAGATAAGAATGACAAAAACTAGACCCAGAAAAATTATTTAAAATTCTGGAAAGTGCCCAAAATATAGATAGAAATTACAGAGGGTTGAATCTCTTTTTTTTTTTTAATTGCAATTGGAAGGAGTATGAATTGTGAGCTATAGCTTCCTAGCCTGGAGACACTATTCAAACTCTGAGCAATGGCAGCAAACCAAAGGAAAAACTACGCCCTTAACAAAAATATGGCAGAGATTAAGAGTTCGGGGCTGGAAAAGTAGCTAAAAATGTAACAAGAAAGTACTGGTAGTCAAAGGACCCCCTCTCCCCAGAACATACTGTATGTTCTGACTCAAATTCAGAACATACAATATCCAAAACCCAGGCTGACAACTAAACTACACACTAAAAAGGAATGAACTATTGACACTGATACTTGCAACAACAAAGATGAGCCTCAGGAGTATTAAATGTAGTAAGTCAGACGCAAGATTCATACTCTATTGACTGTATTTATATGAAATTACAGAAAAGACAAATCTATAGTTACAGAAAGTAGATCAGTGGTTACTACTTCTAGTAACCACTAGGAGGAGGGAGGCTGGCTGCTAATTTTTAAAGTGGTGAATATATTCTGTATCTTGATTGTGGTGGTGGTCATGTGATGTTACACATTTCTCAAAACTCATCAAATTGTACACTTACAACTGCTGAATTTAATGTACATAAATTATACCTAGCTTTTTTTAAACCTTAAAATTTTCAAGGACTTTTATTACTAAGAACTTTGTCATTAATCTAAAGCTCCTCTATTACTTCCCTTCTGCTTGCTGCTTTAGAACCATTGATGAGAGAGATCACTAATGGGTGTGCTATGTAAGTAAACGATGTGAAGACTGAAAAAAAAGGCAGAACAAGGGAATCACTGGTCGAAGACAACATCCTTGGAAAAGATGAGATCAGGATTAGAAAGAAAATTATTAGTCACTCTGGAAGGGAAGAAAGGAGCAATACAAAAATGCTTCTTAGGGTGGTCTATTAAGCAATAGTTATGCTCTCAGCAGAACTTTACCCTTAATCTCTCTGCCTCACACGTTCTCTACCTGCTCTGTCCAATAAGGTAACCACTAGTTGTATGTGGTTTTGACATTTAATTGAAAATAAATTAAAATTAAGTTCTTCGGTCGCATCATCCACATTTCAAGGCCTAAATAGCTCCATGTGGCTAATGGCTATTATATTAGAGTGGAAAACACTTCCATCATGAGAGGAGTCTACTGGACAGCATTACGCTATAATCTTCAAGTTTCAAAATAAACTAAGACATTCTAAAATTGAAACAAGGAAGAATATGTAAGAGTGAAGCAGTATTTGGTACTATAAAAAGTTTATAGAAGAGCAGTAAAGCTGGAGGAAGTCAGGCTTTAAAGTTGCACAGAACTGAGTTCAAACTCCAATCTTACCAATTACTAGTGTGCAGCCCTCAGTAAATTAGTTCCCAAGATTTCAATTGATGAAAATGATACAAAATGAGTATAATATTTTGTAAAACTATCTCAGAGTTGTAGTAAGGATTAAATGATAAGAGAAGTATCTAATACGGTACCTGGCACATAGTATAAATATTAAGTTTATTAGTTTAACTGCAACTAAGGATAATTTCTAGCATGTTGGCTACCTGCACTTAGCAACTGATAACTCCTTTTATTTTGCAGTTCTTAAATTCTGCTTAAGCTAATTCTACTAACCATTTCCTTGAGTTTTTAAGGCTATAAATGTACACGACATTACACAAATAAATCACTTTTCAAAACAAAGTGATACCTATCCACAATTTTAATAAAAGTGTTAATTCTTACCTTAGATGAGATGATCCGGTTATCTATAAATTTCTGAGGTGTATAAAGGCCATTCTGAGGAAACCTGTTGGCTATGTAAATAGTTCGTGTGTCGCTTTGATGTGGTGGGTCAAAACCCTAAGAGCCAACAAGAACAACAAAAAAAATGGTCAACAAGGTTAATTGTTATGATTCTTTACATTTGGTTTAACTATCAAATTATGCGTGATTACTGGCCTTAAACTACAGACTTCTTTATTTATTAGCAGAGTTAAAGTCACATTTTTTTCTTCCACAGGTAAACAGAAACATTTTATTCAGATATAAAATTAACTAGGTAATATCTCTGATAATGAACACCAGTCCATATACTTAGAAATGCTACCACAAGAAAAAGAAAAAGAAAAGGAAATTCATACAGGAGACCTACAGAGGCATTTGAGGATGAGGCTTCTTACCTTCCCTTCATTCCTGAAGGTTCTTTGCCTTGCTCCTAGGATGATGCCTACTTAGTGATGGGGAAGTCCTGAGTAACCAGAACCTAGATAGCAACTACCAGATGTGATGAAAAAGTTTATATTTTATTCTTCCACACCCAGATCAATCTGGTTTCAAAGAACTTTGTTCTCAGAGGATTTAAAATGTGTTGGGTCTTGCCCAGATTCATTCCATATAATCATGTCTTTGTGTTAATTACATTATCAACTGACTCCCAGAAATATGGGTATGTTATGATTCTAACCTCACATTTAAACAACCATCTCTCAAGGTTCATTTAGTAACGATCTCTACCGAAAAGGTTTTCAATGATAAGAATACTGATACTTCATTACTATAGTATTACACTCTTCATGGGTAGATCTTGGGACCCCCTAACAGACTATAAAAGCAGTCACCAAATGCCAAGGTCTTTTCTTGGTTCTAACAGGTAATGACTTAGAATTTCTTAGATTTTCTTTTTTTTCATGGTGGTCAAGGGTTATTTACTAGTACTTATTTATTAAAAGGTCAATTAAACTTGGTATTCACAAACTAGAATAATCCATTTTTAAATATTAAGGACTCTAATTTAGTAGTTTACTAAGTAATGTGGCTGCCATTCAATGCTTGGCATGCCTGTAAAATTTCTTTTAAGCACAGACACACATAGTGGAAATGTCCATATTACCCAGAATATTTTATTTAGCACATCAGGGTATTAACAGTGCAATGTGTGGTTTTCAACTGCTGTTATTCTGTTTCTTTAAACATTATTCTGTAATCTTAGAAACAGCTAGTACAGGACCATGAATTAAATGTATGCTCCATAGGAAAAAAAAAAAAAACCCCTATGAAGTCAACTATTATTTGTTTATGCTATCTATAGTGATGAGCACATTCTGTGGATGTGAATGGGCGATTATGTGTATAATTTCAAAATCAGTTTCTTCAAGGACAAAATGTGGCACATATATTTATTTTCTTTAAAAAATTTTACATTTGCCCCCAGTAAAAACTTATAGGAGGAAGAAAGGCAGGTCTCAGAATCAAAGTTGGGACCATTGTTCATCTTAAAGGTACAAGACATTTATTAATTTAACAAATATTTAAACCATACTAGCTTAAATCATTAGTATGTTACCCATGAAGGATCATATGATTTGTTATACTGTATATGCAAACATATCATAACCTTTTCAAATCAATAAATGAATAGCTTGACTTCTAAAGCAGTAATCCGTGGCTATTTTTCTCAAAGGTGGTTCCCAGTAAGTTTGCTTATAAAGTTCATAGTTACAAGAGAAACACACAATTAATGAGTATTAAATTGCAGGAAGCATATTCATTCCGTACATATTCTGTAACCATGTTAAGTAACACTAAGTTACCTACCATGCATGTAAGTGTCTGGGATATATTAAAGAAAAAACAAAGTAAATTTGAGGGTCTAAAAGAATATATAAATCTTTAATGAGATGTCAAGACAACTGAGGCTGAGAACCACTGATAAGAGAATTTTGTTTTACTTTTTGCTGGATTCCATCAAGAATGGAATTTATTACCATGTTCATCTAAACTGAAGAAACAAAAAAACCCCCACACCCTCCCAAAATATACATACGTATACATATATTTATGTATACAAATATATGTAGTATTGCAACATTTTATCCATGACTAGAATTACCAGTGATCACATACTCAAGTCTGCAAACTCCTGAGATTTTCTCATTTTAAAAGGATATATTAAAATGTTCAAAAAATAAGTTTTCAATTAAACTGAATTTTAAATTCAGCATCACTATATTCCAAGATAACATAATTTAAAATGACAATTCCAGGAGAAAAAGTTTTCCTTAGTCCCAAAGAAGCCATAACATCCACTTATGCATTTTGAGTTTTTTCAGTTGATCTCATCCACTCCTGCTATAATCAATGACATGCATGTATGTGTGGGTGTATGTATTCTTTTTCACACATAAAATAGTTAAATTTATATTTGTGACTATAGTATATGTACAGCCAAATGTCCCCTACAGAAATTAAACCTATCTAGTTCATTCACATCATCTTCTCTGCAACAAATCACACTAGCCACAAACTAAATAAAAACAAAAGAATACAAATGACCAAAAATAAAGAAAGTGACTTTTATTAGGGTCACCATAAATGGGCTTCAGGTCTGTGAATCTCTGAAACTGTATGCCAATTTGCATATGTGGATTTTTTTCTGATAAAAGTGAGCACCCAGTTTTAATGATGTAAAGAAGCTTAACACCACTTACCCAATACTTCCTTTTGTAATCAGTTCCCCATCTCAATATTCTATATTTTTAAAATGACACAAGAGAATCTCTGTTGCAATGACGCCTCTCTTTAACAGGAGTCAAAACAAAACATCTGTTATCAAAACTAATTGTATAAGCTATACTGTTAGTGTGAGGTTCAAGTACAGTTTCAAACTATTTCTAGCAAGCATTATCAGCAATTCTACGGCACTGAAAAAGAAATACAATCTGAACTCCATAATGGCTAGGATACATGCCAAGGTTCAGAAACTTTTGGCACATGGTGGGTAGGCAGAGACAAATGTATTTGAAAAAATAACTAAATTAATTTAAAAAAACACAACTTTTGGCACATATTACATTTTCTGTAGTCACCCCGGATTACCTATTCACACCCTCAACCCTTTGATGCATGCCTGCTACTTTCTCCCCTGATTTCACCTTGTCTTAGGCAAAGGAATAGAGATAGATTAATGCTATTCTAGCCACCCAATACGGGCGTTGGAAGCACACAATTTTTAATTATTTAAAAATAAAAACTTTCATATTCTAAGAAAGTTTGAAATTCAAAACCTCTTTTCTATTCTGTCTGGATTTATGTTAAAGCTACAGGTACAGAAAAAACAAGTGGGTGCTTAAGTAGGAAAAAAGTCCCATGTGGCATTTAGGGGAAGAACTGACAATGCAAAGGACTGATTTAAGAGGTTCCTTTTGTAACCACAAACTGATGAGACCTAGGGAAGCCAAAGGAGCAAATGCTTTATAATTTTCAGAAGTTAGTTTTTGGCACAAAACAGTACTTGAAAATGCATCACAGCATTTTTACATTTTCATACCAAATATACTAGCCTCTGCACTATTCTAAAATCCCAAAGATTTTATTAAAAAATACAAGCATTACAAATAAAAGAGTTATTTAATTATTGTACTGTAATTAAATACTGTCACATTTCTTTAACATAGCTTAGAAAAACATCATCTTTATAGAGTTCACAGTGATCAAACTTTGTGTCTCTTATTCTTATATGCGATCTAGTTCCCCCATAACAGAAAAAGTGACTTGGTTGCCTTCTTGTACGTTCCCCAACCAGGGACCAAAACTGAAACCTGAGTATGTGCCCTGACTGGGAATTGAACCTGCCACCCTTTGGTCTATGGGATGATGCCCCAACTAAGCCACACCAGTCAGGGCTTAAGATTTTTTCATTGTTTTGAGTTTTTGTTTTTTTTTTGTTTGTTTCTCACATTGATGTTTCTCTCTTTCTCTGCAATGAAAAAATGTCTTCAGGTGAGGATAAAAAATAATAATAAAATTTTAGAAAACAAAAGAGCTTCAGAGTCAAAAAAGCAAGAGTAGTATTATTAAAACAAATGAACTGAAGCTTTATTTAGGTACATGCTTTATATGAAAATGATTTTTGTTGGATATATGCTCTAACATCTACAGGTACATGAAAATGGCCTAGCAAAAATACGATATTTCTGGGGAGGAATGATTTAATATATCTTACCACATCTGCAAACTTAATTGTGAATTACTGTCCCCTGGACGAAGACATTTGTTTTTTTAAATCCTCACCATGAGGACATGCTTAGGAAGGAGAGAGAAACATCAACTGGTTGCGTCTCACATGAACCCCAACCATGGACTGAACCCACAACCTTTAGGTTTACTGGATTATGCTCCAACCAACTGAGCCACACAGACCAGGGCCCCTGGACACAGACTTTAAATAAAATATATCTTTATGAAGGTTCTGCAAGGACACGATAATTTTACACTGTTAAAGGACCAAAGTAAGGTGACAGAGAATAACTTTAAAATGCCCATAAAGTGAACAAACACAATTAAATTTTAACTTTTTGTTTCATGTTACATAATTTTCATTTTAGGATTTAAGGTAGTCATTGCCTGTCAGATTTCTGGGCTTTCAAGAACTCTGGTTTAGCTCACAGATGGTTTCGGACTGGCCTTCCAGTTACAGGATATAAAATTTAGTGATTTTTGATTCCAGAATTCTTAAATCATCTTCCAGTGCTTTACTATAGAAAACTCATCTCTAATCAGTTATACTAGTTCCCAAACTTGACTCCCTACTCCTAACATATACCTCCAGCAAAAGCATACTCATCTTTTGAGTTTCAGCTTAAGAGTTTCCTTCTCAGTGGAGGTTTACCTGACACTCCTTCTCCAGAAATAAAGGCAGGCATTTGTTATTTATTACACCCACCAAACCTTTAAGACACTCCCATTATAGATTTTATAACACCGAATTTTAATTGCTTGTCTGTATACCTATCTCACCCTCCAGACTGTAAGATTCTTAAAGGTAGCATATGCTAGCTCTTTAATAAATGTTTAATGAATGG